CTGCTTCGAAGAATGAAGAGGTAGAGCAGACAATGAGTGGGGGGCAGCCATGCAAATTTTATTGAGCAAAAGTATAAAACTTCCAGAGAAGGAGAGAGGGGGGCCCCCTGAGAGGGTTGCTCCCGAGAGGAGTTCTAAGTTTAGGGGGTTTTATGAGCTCTTTTGCAGAACTATCTTAAGCAATCAGGTGTGTGCTGAGTCATGCCCATCAGGGCTTTGGACATGAATCTGTCTATTAGGTTAATGTCCACTTTTTTTTTTCCTGACATCTGGATGCTTAGGTCCTAACTGCCCACTGCCCAAGATATTGACAAATGCTTTTGTGGTTAATTATCTTATTTTAGGACATTTTGCAGAAGTCATTTCTGCAAGGGCTGCAAAGCAGAATGTGAGTGTGGTCCCATCTAAGCTGCAGCGCAGGGTGTCAGAGCTGTATTATCTTAGCTGTCCTGACTCTATATTTTCTTGTTGGGGACCCTGGCCCTGACTCCCTAACTATCCAATTCACTCCTAACATTAGGACAAAACCAAAATTCCTCTCTCATTTTCTTGCACCTAGCAATTTGACACCGTTGCTTTCCATCCCAGGAGCTTATCTGGGTATTTTTCCAGAGAATTCCGCTTTTGCCACCTGTAATCATCCCAACTTGGATCCCCACAAACATTTCACAATATTGTGTCCAGCCTCCTTCAGTGATATTCAGACTGGCATGGAGCCCAATCCTGCCTCTGCCCCTTTCCCCCTGAAGGGCCCTGGCCCAGGTACTATAGCAATCTGCCTCTCTCTCTGTCCTGATCTGTGATGTGGGTGGGGGTGATAAAAGAGCCCATCCCACAGGGCTTTTTTTTTTTTTTTGCAAAAAAAAAAGCAAAAGCGTGGAGAGCAGGTATGAGCTCTCAGTATCTCAGCAGTTAACATGTGGTCACACTTTGCCAACTGCCATTTTGCTCCCTCCTCTCCACAAAACATGCCTTACCGGGGTCTGGGACCAAGGCTGACTCAGGTAGTCCTTTATCAGCCATTTCCCCACTAAGCAACCTGGATAAACAGCCCAAGTCAAAACATTTTCGTTGAGGTGAAAACATTCTCCAGGGGCACCTGGGCGGCTCAGTCGGTTAAGCATCTGCCTTGGGCTCAGGTCATGATCTCAGGGTCCTGGGATTGCTTGCACCCCACATCAGGCTCACTCCTCAGCTGGGAATCTGCTTCTCCTTCTCCCTCTGCCCCTCCACCTGCTCATGCTCTCTCTCTCTCTCTCAAATAAATAAATAAAATCTTAAAAAAAAAACACCCAGATACATCTGTATTGCTGGTAAAATAGTCTTAAAAAAAAGATTTTATTTATTCATGAGAGACATAGGCAGAGAGAGAAGCAGGCTCCACGCAGGGAGCCCGATGTGGAACTCGATCCTGGATCTTGGGATCACGCCCTGAGCCAAAGGCAGACTCCCAACCATTGAGCCACCCAGGTGTCCCTAAAATAGTCTTTCTTACACATATATGTTCCTTGTTCAGGAAGAAAAGTCAAAATCTGCCACAGACCAGTATTTAGATTATGGAGGGCAGGGGACGGGGGAGTTGGCATTTCAGGGAGGGATGGACCTGGGTCCTGCTTCTCCTCCTAAGAAGACTGGGCAAAGACACAGAGTCTAGAAGAGACCTCCCCATGGACGGCCAGCAGGGATCCTCAAGAACCACAAACCCTCCAGGGGGAGGGCAACAATATTGGAGGCAGTGGTATTTAAATGAGCCAAAGTGAACGGAAACGAGGAAAGACCTAGAGGCAAGAAAACCTGCTCTCCAGGAAGAGAGGAGGGTTCTGCTTGGCCAGAGCATGGCAGGCACGAGGGGAAATAAGGTGGGGAAGGCATCTGAGCAGCCAATAGCTATGGGTGTTGGCAGGTTACTTTGCCATTCCAGGTCTCTGTTTTCTCAACTGTAAAATAGGGATAAACGTAGAATCCAGTGCTCAGGGAAACCTCAAAGATTTAGGAGACCATACTTGCTCTTAGGATGGATCCTGGCATAGTTATCGTTTGTTGAGTGTTTCTAAGGAACTCCCCCCACACACACACACACATTTTGTAAGAGTGCCTCAGGATATATTGATCATTAAAAAATTTTTAACTGTGGGGACACTTGGGTGGCTCAGTGGTTGAGCGTCTGCCTTTGGCTTGGGCTGTGATCCCAGGGTCCTGGGATGGGGGTCAAGTCCCACATCAGACTCCTCGCAGGGGGCCTGCTTCTCCCTCTGCCTAGGTCTCTGCCTCTCTCCCTGTGTGTCTCTTGAGTAAATAAATCTAAAAAAATTAAATACTAAAAATAAATAAATAAAAAATTTTAACTGTGATCAAATAAGCCAGATGCAAGAGGTCCTCTGTATCAACTATGAATACTTTATTTTTTATTTATTTATTTTTTAAGATTTTATTTATTCATGAGAGACACACAGAGAGAGAGAAGCAGAGACACAGGCAGAGGGAGAAGCAGGCTCCACGCAGGGAGTCCGATGTGGGACTCGATCCCGGGACTCCAGGATCACACCCCGAGCCGAAGGCAGGCACTAAACTGCTGAGCCACCCAGGGATCCCCCAACTATGAATACTTTAGAGCCACCAAAGCGTTAACTGTTGTGGCTAGAGGAGCACATGTCTGGATTTACCTCAGAATGAAGCTCTTCCCTGCCAAGTTGTAGAAAGATCTGGATTCCTTGCAAATGTGTCATTGATTAGGAGGCAATTATCCTGGCCTTTCTTGCTTCGCTTTGTTTCATTTCGTTCTGGCCTGTGCACGTCTGCTCTCGTACAATTATACCATCAAGTTCACAGCTGCACTTACGACAACTCTGCTGGGCAGGACACTCAGGCCTGGAGCCTGGGCCCACGCAAAGTCAGCAGGATGTGGTCACACCAACCGGACAGCATCTCCCAAAGCGAGCGTCTCCAGGACACCCTGCATCAGGAGCCATTCTCCACAAGTTCCTCAACTGGTTCTTATGCCTCCCAAGGCTTGAAAGCACCATTCCTGAAGGATTCTTCTCTAAGTGCCAAAGCTTGTGGGTTTCTTTTGGGGGGAAGAGGGTTCAAGGTTACAGTGTCGCCATTCGTACCAAAATGGAACAGGTGACAAGGAAACCAATCCATGAAAGTGAACCTTTTGAAACTTTGAAGGAAGGACTTAACAATGCCTAGACTTTATGTACTACATCGTAAAGTATTTCCTCCCCTCAGATGAACATATCCACTCACTCCCACACTCCCTCTTTGAGTTCCCACAGTTCAGGAGGATGAGAAAGTTCTGGATGCCAACAGTGATTCCACTCTGAATCCAAAGTATCATCTTTCCCTTGGCGGGCTCCCGGATCAGCTAAATGAAAGGGCATCCTGTAATTGTAAAACAAAATCTTGTTTTATTTTGTTTCACAGTATTACCATATGCAACTACTTCTGTGATTCCAGATTTCCTTGATACAAAATGAAATTAGACACCCAAGCTAATTTTTTTAAAAACTTTGGTCTCAAAATGTGCCTCCAAAAAAAAAAAGTGACTTTGCCCTTTTGTAACAGATATTATGAATGTCAACTTGTAAAGGAAGGTGTATACCATAATTACATTATAAAATGAAAGCACACCCATAAAATGCTGCTATTGATCACATGTAAGATTCATGGAGAGTGCTACAGATAAAGACGCAACTTGAAGACAGTGGGGAGGCATCGAGGGCTCCTCCTGGCCCCCAGACCAGCTGTGACCAGAGGACCTGTGTCCGTGTGTCTGTCCTTGACACATTCAATCACCATCTGTGAAACACTGGAGGTGGGGGCCAGGTCTCTGTCTCAGGGGTGGCCACACCTCCTCACCTGGGGTGGGTGGAGCACTTCTTGGTGGAATGGTCCCGGGCCCAGGATTTTATGTGTCAGAATACCCCCATCACGGCAGTAGTACAAGAAACGTCAGTGGAGGGCAGGATACCAAGGAACCACCACTCTGGTTAATGTGTAATTGGGTCCTGGTCATTCGGTAGCATCAGAAGAAAGGAGGAGAGGCCTGCGCTACACAGGCTATTTAATCTTTTACTAAAAAGTTTTTTTTTTTTTCCCACCAGCAATTAGGAAAGCCTAGGACTCAGTCACAGGTTCAGAGGTTCCTCATTCTTTGCATTTTGCTTTGCTTTCCTTCTGTTTTGAGAGACTTCATTCTTTAGCATAGTTTTGGGGATACAGCTTTGGGCGAGTCAGCTCACTTCTCAGCCTCAATGTCCTCATCTGGACGGGGGAGTGCTGGCTCACCCCCAATAACAAGATGGCCACTAGGGAATTAAATTCAAGAACAGACGGGGACACCTGGGTGGCTCAGTGGATGAATGTCTGCCTTTGGCCCAGGGCGTGATCCCGGGGTCCTGGGATCGAGTCCCGTGTCGGGCTCCCCGCAGGGAGCCTGCTTCTCGCTCTGCCTGTGTCTCCGCCTCTCTCTCTGTCTCTCATGAATAAATAAATAAAATATTTTAAAAATAAATAAATTCCAAAAAATAAATAAATAAATAAATAAATAAATAAATAAATAAATTCAATAATAGATGAAAAATCCTTCATACAGTGCCCAGCACACAGTAGGAGCCATCTCCACGGAGCTGGTACTGGCCCATGCCATCGTGCACCTGCTCGCCAGATCCACGCCTTGGTTTGACAAGGGGAGAGTGGGCGGGTGGGAGCCTGGCAGGCCCAAAGGGACATGCGAGCTGCTTCTCCGTCTCCCGCACCCCTGGCCCAAGAGCAGCAGAGCCAAAGGGTGCTGCTCGGGAGAGCAGACCTCATTCCAGGGGAGGTGGCCTCACTCGCTCAGGTTAGCACCCACGGAGGAATGTGGGCGCCGTCTCTCTCACAGGCCACCCCACCCTGCCGACCGCATTCCCACTCCCACGGCCCTCTGCTCCTCCCGAGCTCCATTCCTGCCTCCGCCTCATCCCTGTGTCCCCCTTCTCCCTCCGTGGGAGCCGCCAACGGCTGAGAACAGCACTTCAGAACCACCCTCCGATCCACACAGCCCCACTGGGGGGGAAGGTGGGCAAGGCCAAGACCCTCCACGCCGAGTTCAAGCAATTCCTCTGCCTGGTGGGCTGCCCACGCAGCCACTTTCTCTCCGGGTTTGGGTGGCAGAGGAGAGATCCAAGCCAGGGGCTGCCAGGGTGAGGACAAATGGTTTTGAATCAACAGACCCAGAGCTATGAACGCCATGTGGCACAGCCTCAGAAGTATGTGTGACTCAGGAATATTCCTTTTCTTCCCCAGGTGTGTGAATGACGGACGAGAAAGTGAGAATAAGCAGTCAGCACCGGGGGTGATGACTTCACGTGAGCAGTACCGGGCAGGCAGCAGGGCAGGAAGAGATTGGCAGGAAGAGGCTGGGGAGAGCATTTGGACCACAGAGGATCAAAGCCAGAAGACCCCAAAGGACGACCAGGTGAGTCCTACCCTCTTTGTGAGGTGAGGACGCAAAGGCCCAGGAAAGTCAGGTGAGTTGTACAGGTTTTCCAGTCATTATGGTCAGGACTCCTTCTCCAACATTCTGTCCCCACACTATCCCTACCTCTCCCTCTGACACAGCAGACACCTAATACTGGGGACCAAGTGAGGCATGAATGAAAAATATGCATTCCCCACTTGTGAGCACCTCCTGCTGACGGCGGACCAGAGGAGGCAGGCTGTGAGCAAGGCTCCTGAGGGCCCCGGGCAAACACTGGGGGGTCCTGGGTCGCTCCTGAGCAAAGCAGAGTTTGAGCAGATCCTCGAAGACGAGAAGCAGGCCTTGGGAGGACGCATTTCAGGGGCAGGAAACGGGGGCAGTGGGAGTGAGGGGCTGCTGGCCTGAGGTCAGTGGCAGACAGATTCCTCAAGGCTGTGGGCGAACAACCCCCCTTGGTTTAAGACCAAGGTCAGGGGCGGCTGGCCGGGGCTGAATCCAGCATCCGGCCAAGGACAAGCTCCTGGTAGCCACATTCTAGGCATTCGGGGCCTGGCTGCTCCTGGGGGGCCTGGGGAGCAGGACAGCAGGGCCGAGGCCCCCTCCGCGGTCCCTCTGGCAGGCTCCACACACACCCTTCCTGCTGTGACAACTCTGTTCTCTGTGCAGCTGGTTCCAGCCTGTGGCTGGGGGTTCAGATTGGGGCAGGTGTACCCACGGAGGCCCACCAGAGTATCACGGGGGCTCCTGGGAGAGCCTGCCCACCCAGCCGGGCCTGGGTTAACGACAGGTCACGGCACTCCTGCTCTGCGCCCAGAGTGGCACCCACAGTCAGGCCCTCCCTGGGACCAGATCTTGGGAGAGAGCCACCACTCCCTCATTCGTGCAGTTGGTGGGGCCTTCTGTCAGCCTATGATGGGCACCGACTGAGGCACCCAGGGAAGGTCCAAGGGGTTCAAATGGCCCTGGCTTCTCCCGGCCCCCAATAAGAATCATGGCTGCCACCCAAATGACCCCTTTCCGTGGTGACAGGCCCCATGATGGTGGTTTATGGATAGCAACTCACAACATTCCCACAGAGCACTTGGGGAAACTGAGGTTTGAGAGGTAAAGTGACTTTCCCCAGGTCACACGGTTCTGTCTGGCTTCGCACTCCCCCAGACCATGCTGGGCCTCTCAGCAGAGAGGGCACAGGGGGAGCAGGGGCTGTGTCACTGGCTGGGGTCCTTGGTCTGGAGGCCTGTCTGAGCACTGGCCTTGGAGCCCTGTAGGCGTCGGAGGCGGCTTCCAGGCACTTGCCCTGCTGTGCTCTCTCCAACTTTCTTGCTTTGGTTCCAACTGTCTATTCCTTGCCGACTAATGGCTCACGTGCCTTCCCAGACACCGCTCCTCCCTGGAGGCCCTACTCTGGACTCTTCCAGAAGGCAATGTGGAAACCGCCTCCTGAGAACACAGAAGTCGTCTCCTGCAACAATCCTGCTCTCTTCATTTGTCAAATCTCAGGTTGGACATGTTTTAAGTACATGGGCCTTCCCGTCCCGACCAGAGGCCAGGAGCCATGCCCATGCCTGACAGTAGGGAGTGGTCCAGGAATGGATTTTAATCCTCCCAACTGTGGGGTAGGAATGATCCTCCCCATTTAGAGATGAGAAAATCAAGGTTCAGAGAAGTGACAAACCAAGCTCAAGGAAGGGAGGGATGATGGCAGGATCTGAAGCAGCCATTTCTGCCCGCCTTTGTGGCTGTGAGAGCCCTGCTCCATGGGCCCAACCAGGGCTGCCAGGGCCCCAGAGCCCCCTACCTGGGACTCAGACACTGTTTGCACCCCAAACCCTGGATGTGCAGATGTGCAAACCTCTTGCCTACAGCACCGGGCCTGGAAGGAAACAGCCAAAGCTCCTGGAGCTCTTCCTGTGGCTCAGGCCTTCAGGGAAAAAAGAGAAGAACCACACGGAGGGGAGATAAGCGGTCTCCAAAGGAGGAACATCTTCACATCAGTGCCAAAGAGAAAAAAAAAAAAAAAGTGGTGCTTTCTTTTATTTTTAATGAATAGACTTTTTTAGAGCAGTTTTAGGTTTACAGAAAAACTGACCAGACAGTACGGAGTTCCCACCTGCCCACATTTCCCCCACCCGAGATCTCTCCACTATTTACATCCGTATCGGTGCATTTGTTACAGCTGATGCACCAGTATCCCTACCCACCAAACTGCAGGTTGCAGTACTCAGCCTGTCGAACATTCAATGGATTCTGACCAATGTACAATGACATGTGTCCATCTCACTGTGTCATACAGAATAGTCTCACTGCCCTAAAAATCCTGCATCCTCCACCTGCCCAGCCCTCCCTCCCTCCCTCCAACCCCTGGCAACCACTGGTCTTTCATGGTCTCCAGAGTTCTGTCTTTTCCAGAATGTCATGGAGGGGAACCACACAGTGTATGGCCTTTTCAGATTTGCTTCTTTCACTTGGGCATTGTGCATTTACGTCTCCTCTATGTCTTTTTGTGATCTGATAGCTCAGTTCTTATTATCTGTGATAATATTCCGTTATCTGGACGCAACACAGTGTATCCATTCAGCTGCCGAAAGACATCTCAGTAGCTTCCAAGTTTTGGCAATTATGAGTAAAGCTGCTGTGAGCGTTCAGGCACAGGTTTTTGTGTGGACCTGAGTCATCAGCTCATTTGGATAAGTACCAAGAAGCAGCAATGTATTTTTTTCGATGGGCAATCATTTCGTATTTACAGACTCTTGTGTCATAGAACTGTGAGATCAGAAAAAGCACCTGTGACATATTTGGGTAAATATGTGTGGAGTTATATGATGTTTGAGGCCACCAGAGCCATATTCAAGCCAGGAGAGGGGAGAAGGGAAGATGATCCAGTGTAGGAGAGAGAGGGGAGCAGAAGGGAAGTATGGAACACCAACAGACTTGCAGGGTGTGCTCCCCAAGGCCTGAAATGTCAAGGGCCAGCAGAGGACAGGGCAGGTGCTGCATCAGAAAACGGCTTGAAGTCTCAAGGACATGGTGTTTTAACTGGGTCTTGGGAAGGGGCAGGATTTCAGCAGGTGGACGTGCGAGCTGAAGAGCATGCCAGGTTGTGGGCACAGCCTGAGCCGGGGTCCTGGAGAAGACAGTGCGGGGCCATGGGGGCATGGATGGCTGCGAAGGGGGTACCTGGAGGGTCACCTGGATTTGCAGACCAGAACACCACTCTGGGCCAGGGACAGGCTGGGCCACGTGTCGGTGGGGAGCTGGTGCTCTGAAGATCTTCTCAAGCTAAGGGGGTTCTCAGGTGGCTGGTGGCTGAAATTTTCCACTTGTCCTCCTGTTTGCTTTCTTTCTCAAAGCCTCTTTGTTTGGGCTCCCTTGCCTGGAGGCATGAGCCACACAGCACCCTCCTGGCTGGAAGTGAGTGGAAGTGAGTGTTGGATCACCATGACACACCCCTCAGTTATTGTGGCTGTGACTCAGCCTTCACCCCTCCCAGCCCTCTGCCAGCCCGGAGTTTGCCCTCCCACCACCTGCCTCCACCTGCCAGAGTGCTCTTCTCCGTAGGCCACTGGGTGGGACCTGGCAACTCCCTGCCCAGGGGAGAGTGGGAACGGAGGGGCCCACCAACAACGACATGTGATCATCGCCACTGAGACACCAGCTGGCTGGTAGGGATGACTGTCACCCTCACATCACCACTCACAGTGAGGGACCGAGGAAGCCGACTGGGAAAGCTCAAGGAGCTGAGAGCACATGGCCAGGGAGGCGCATGGATTCTCCCAAGGACTCGGGTTCCAGAGCCAGGCTTGGAAGTCAGGTCTACTGAGCACCAGCTAAGTGCTGGACACTGTTGTGAGCACCACTGGGGATGCCGATGTGAATGAGACAAGCCCCTGCCCTCAATGGCCGACCTGCCAGGGGCAGGGGGATACTCCACAAATCAGCAGGCGGTGGAAAACTCACTCTCAGGGCCTGGGCACGGGGCACATCCTCTCCCTGCTGCCCAGTGCCCGGGGTTGGCACACACACACACTGCTCGCCGTCCTCCCCCTGCCTTGAAAGGGCGCTTTCTCCTTTTCCAGGAGCACCAGATCAAAGTCCTAGGGCACCTCTGAATGCTGGGACAGTGCAGCTCACACCTTCAGCTGAGCAGATTCCTAGAGGCTTGGGGCAGGGGGGGAGGGGGGAGGCCTGGCAAGCCACCTGTTCCAGCTGCCTCCTCTATGGTGTGTCCTCTCTACCACACCGCGGGGACTGGTACTCTCCAGGGGACAGAGGCTCACTACCTCACAAGAGGAACCATTCCAGAACTAGGCAGTGCTAACCAAAAAGCCCTTAAAAAATATATATATATTTATATGTAAAATTTATAAATATAAATATATATATATATATAATTTATTTATTCATGGGAGACAGAGAGAAAGGTAGATCCCAGGGCCCCGGGATCCCACCTTGAGCCAAAGGCAGATGCTCTACCGCTGAGCCATCCAGGTGCCCCCGGAAAGGGCCTCCTTAAGCCAAACCAACATCTATCTCCTCCTTTCTTCTGCCCACCGCTCCTTGTTCTGCCCTGAGGCACCCCCATTACATATCCCATTGCCTATGACTCCTCTTCACCTTGTACCCCCTCAAATACTTTGTGTTACCCTTAAATCCCTTCCTAGGAGTAAATTTCCTCAGATTTTAAGCCATTCCTCAAACACGGTCTGGTCTTGCCCTTGCCTGCCGATGCCCCCAGCACCTACCACTCTAGCACCCTCCAAAAATGCTTCAGCAGGTGACCGTTGAGGACACGCAGGCCAGAATGTCACCCGGGTCTCCAGTTCTGCCTCACCTCAGCCTGGGGATGGATGGCAAAGGCCTGGGCAGGAGGAGCCGCAGGAGTGGAGGGTGAGGACAGTCACAAGTGAGCAGACACCTGAGTCTCCCCCTGGCCCGTCATCCAGTTGTCATTTATGAAGGGCCTGTTATTGCCGGGCCAGTGCCAGCTGAATGCTGGGGTAGTAGCCCTGCTGATGGCTTTGTGGCAGAGAAAGGGGAAAAAAAAAAAAAGAAGTAAACACCTGATTCAGAATATTCCAGACAGTGATAAATGCTTTGAAACAGACAGAAGGTGATAAAAGACTTTGGCTCATTAGAAAAGGATGGTCAGGAAAGCTTCTCAAAGAGGAAAGGGCTAGACTGCTCCAAACAGCAGTAAGATGGAGCCAGCCCACAATGAGCAAGGAGAAAATAATTCCAAGTAGAGGGGACTGCCAGTGCAAAGGCCCTGAGGCAGGGATGAGCGGGGCACACTCAGAGGCTCGTGGTTCCAGCAAAATGAGCAGGTGCAGAAGGGAGAGGGCAGTGGGAGAGGAGGTCAGAGAGGTAGGGAGCTCGAGTTTATTCTAAGATCCAGGGGCAGTTCCTTTGGAGGGCATCAAGCCTCAGATATGATCTGACTTATCTTTAAATTTTAAGAGAATGGAGAGACCAGTGTAGACAAGGGCAGTCAGTAAAGGCTTCACAGAAGAGTCAATGAAACCTTCCACCACAGGACCAAGGGTAAGTCTCCATCTCCTACCAGCAGTGAAAAATGCATCCCTTTAATATGGTTTCTCTCAAGAAGACAAGTGCATGCTCCCCAAGCACAGGAAATGAGGCTCGTCATCATTAAGTCATTGGGGAAATACAAATCAAAGCCACAGTGAGATGCTACTTCACATCCACGAAGGTGGCTGTCCTTAAAAAGAGTGTTGGTGAGGACAAGGAGAGAGCGAAACTACACACAAGGCTGGTGGGAATGCAAGATGGCACAACCTGCTTCGGGGAATAGTTTCTTAAAAACTTGATTTAGGGGATCCCTGGGTGGCTCAGCGGTTTGGCGCCTGCCATTGGTCCAGGGCGCGATCCTGGAGTCCTGGGATCGAGTCCCACGTCGGGCTCCCGGCACGGAGCCTGCTTCTCCTTCTGCCTGTGTCTCTGCCTCTCCCTATATATATATATCTATCATGAATAAATAAAATCTTTACAAAAAAAAAAACTTGATTTATCTGTGATCTAGCAATCCTTCTCCTAGATACCTACCCGTGAGAAATGAAAACATTGGTCCCCCTAAGGACTGCACATATGCTCCTGGCGGCGTTACTCACGGTGGCTACAGAGTGAAAATGACTTGCGGGCCATTAGCTGGGTGGTGGGCACACACGGCGTGGTCTCTCCACCCGTGCTCAGGAATACCATTCAGCGGGAAAAAGGCATGAAACACTGGCACGTGCTACAACCTCAGAAACATGCCAAGTGAAAGAAGCTACAGGCAAAAACACACATATTGTAGGATTTATGACATGTCCAAAAAAGACCAATCTACAGAAACAGAAAGTAGGTTAGTGGTTGTCAGGGGCTGGGAGGAGGAAGGGGGAGTTACTGCAAACAGACATGAGGCATCTTGGTGGGAGACGGAGAGGCTCTAAAATTGGCTTGTGGTGGTGGCTGCACAGCTCTGCACATTTGCTAAAAAATCACTCAAGTGTACACTCACAATGAGCATTCGTGGTATGTGCATTACACCTCAGCAAAACTGTTCAAGGAGGTGCTTTCTCCTCCAGCACCTACTGGATTTTGTGCTCCACCATGGCAGGGACTGGCCCCTCTGTTTTAGCAGTGTCCCCAGCACCCAGAGCAGCCAGGCACCCAGTGAGCACCCAGTGACTCTGGTGCAATGAATGAGTGAAGCCATTAAAGCAATGACCTTTAGCTGGGTGCGCAGCCCCCTGGGAGCTCCCTCCCTGTTTTGTCTCCCTCATCCCCCTACTTGAAAGACTTCCCTACACGGCTGATCCGCTTCCTCGTGGGTCTCTGCCACGCTGCAACCTTGCACTTCAGGGTTGTGAAGTCCCAGGGCACCTCTGGGTCTCAGCTCCATGACCCCATGCAACACTCACCCCTGGCTTCCACGATATGCTGTGCCCCGCCTGTTCCTGGGGGCTAGGCTGGGATGGCAGACCTCTGCCCTCAAGCCACCTGCTGGAGTAGCCTTCCCGTCTCCATGCCTCTCCACGCCAAGGGCCCTCAGTTCTGTGTCATAGTCCAGCCTCAGCCCCTTGACTCCCGGTGTGACAGCCCACTGGCGTGTCCCCAAGACTCCTCAAGTTTGATATCTCTAAAACTACAGGTCCTCCTTCCCCTGAGCCCTGCTCTCCTGCAGAGCCCTGCCATGAAAGAACCTTCCAGAAACACAGGCATCCCCCTTGACACCTTGCTCCCACCTCCTCCTCACTCATCCCCCCAACAAGTCCTGCTGATGCTACTACTAAGCATCTCTTTTCTCTCCAGACCACCGCCTTCTGTCATCTAGATGACACTTCTCGGTTCTCCTTGCTGTACCCAGAGTGACTTCTTAGAGGTTACAATGCTGTCTGTCGCAGCATCAGAAGCCAGGTGCGGGGAGCTCAGGCTAACAGCGCAGAGAGGAAGGGCATCAGAGGTGTTCCGTGCAGTGGAAGGAAGACCTGAACGGTTGGGCCTAGGGAAAGAGAGCAACTGGGCAGCCCCCAGACCCAGCCCTTGGAGCTCATGGTCCTTCTCCCAAGGGGACTCCACCTCAGCAACTCAGTCTCGAAGCCTCTCTGCTCTGGTTTCGACTGGGCCAGCTTGGGTGACGGGCCCGCTGGCAGCAGCAGTGCTCTTTCCAGACCCGAGGGAAACCACCTGTGCGTGGCCCTCCCCGAGCAGCTCGCAGGGCTCCCCTCATCCTCAACAGCGGTTCAGACACAAGGGTCCTGACGTTTCCCGCTGGCCTGGGTGCTGCCCCGCTCTGCTCAGTCCCCCGCAGGACGCAGCTGCACCTGAGCGCCTCCAACATGGGGTGGCTCAGTGGGAGAGCAGGGGGCGCCACTGGCCGGGGAGCCGGGATCAGCCTGGCTGGGGCCCCCGTGTGCGAACGAGGGTTTGCCCATAAGTCAGCTTTCCTACAGGCTTGTTTTCATTCTCATCTTGAAAGCCCTGATTTTGGTTTAACCAGTCTGGGGTTCAGAAAGCAGTGACTTTCTTGCGACTCCCTACACAGAACCGTGACATGGTGGCAGTGTTATTTCCTGGCCATGGTAGCAGGACCTCACTGAACATATCCTGGGAAATACAGTTTTGTTTTTTTTTTTTTTACAAGATTTTACTTATTTATTCACGAGAGACACACAGAGAGAGGCAGAGACACAGGCAGAGGGAGAAACAGGCTCCCTGCGGGGAGCCCGATGCAGGACTCGATCCCAGGACCCAGGGGTCACGCCCTGGGCTGAAGGCAGATGCTCAGCCACTGACCCACCCAGGGGTCCCTACAGCTGACTCTGAACGATGCGGAGGCTCAGGGTGCAGACAACCCCCCTCCTGCCATGCAGTTGAAAATTCACCTGTAACTTCAGACTCTCCAAAAACTGAACTATTTATAGCCTGTTGTTGACCAGAGAGCTTACCAGTAACAAAAACAAGTTGAATAGCACCTATTCTGTTACGTGTCTTATATACAGTATTCTTGGGGTGCCTGGGAGGCTCAGTCGGTGAAGCGTTTGCCTTTGGCTCAGGTCATAATCCCAGGGTCCTGGGATGGAGTCCCATGTGGGGTGCCCTGCTTAGCGGGGAGTCTGCTTCTCCCTCTGCCTGCCCCTCCCCTGCTTGTGCTCTTTCCATGAAATAAATAAAATCTTAATATATATATATATATATATATATATATATATATATATACACACACAGAGATATATGTATACTGTATTCTTTCAACAAAGTCAGCTAGAGAGAAGAAAACGTTATCAAGAAAACCACAGGAGAAAACGCGTTGATAGCAATGTATAGACCGAAAACCAATCCCCTTGTAATTGGACCCGCCCGGCTCAAGGGTCAGCTGTACTTTCCTTACCTCGATTTCCTAATGTTTTTTTTTTTTTCTTTTTTCCATTTCCTAATGTGGACTTAACTCCACCTTCAAGGCTCAAGCCCCCTGCACACTTCCGCCCCCTGCTGGGCAACTGGGAATTGTTCCAGGCTCTGAAGACCTCCCCCATCCCAGGTGTGCCTGCACCCCAGCCTCCCACCTGCACACCCGCAGCCTGCATTCACGTCCTCAGCTTGTCGCTGCTGGGCTTCCCTCCAGCCTCTTCCCACCTCGACCGTCCTCTGAACCGCCCCCCAGACTCATGTCTCTAAGAACACTGATCTCGTCACTCCTCAAAAACATTCAGTGGCTCCCTAGTACCTATGGAATTGATCCAAATTTTTTTTTGATCCAAATTCTTTAGCTTGGCATCCAATACCCTCCATAATATGGCCCCGAACCATCTTTCTGAAATTACGTCTCACTCTTCCCCTGCCTTTCCACCCACTCCTCAAGGTACAGCTCGAGCTGCTCCTCCTCCAGGAGGCCACCTGGGATCACCACTACTGGGGCATGTGTGGCCCCTGCCGCTTCTCTGGCGCGGAGCCTATGCGGTCTTTTTCATCGCTGCACGTGCCTGGTCTTTAGGAGAAATAGCTTGTGAGCTCCTCGAGGGCAGCCACCAATTCTTCAAACAAAAGCTGTAGCAGAAATGTGAACCACGGGTGATCGGCACTTTCGCAACCATTACCTTCCCTTCCTCCTGACGCTGCGTGAGGTAGGCGGCCACAGGCTATGACCTCTGCCGCGGCCACCGGAGGAAACGGAGCTCAGAGAAGCTGCGTGAGTTCCTCACAGTCACACAGCAACCTAGCAGCGGGGCCGGTGGGGAGGCCCGGCTCTCCTGCTGCCGTCCTTGTTCCATTGACCCTCGCGGCCTCCCTTGTGCGTTTCCCACGTCCCAAACCTTATCCACGGAGAGTGACACGACAGCCAATATCTATCGATTATAATCCTTAATATCAGCCCCCCGATACTGTCCCGCTGCCATAGTGACCTGGTGTTTCCGGTGCCCCCACGGCAGGCAGCACCCTGTGCTGGAAAGAGCTGCCGGGAGGTCCACGTGCCAGGTCCCAGGGGAGCCTCTGGCCTCCAAGAGCTGTGTGACCTTGGGAAGCCCCCCTGCCCCCCAGGGAGGGACTGGGCCGCACCCCGCGGCTCTTAGATTACAGGCTGGGATATTTTTTATTATTATTTTTTGGAACAGGCCCTTAAGACTTTGCGAGAAAACAATCCGTAAGCTAAGTGGCTACTCGGCTGCCGTCCCCACAGAGAGCGGGGCGTGGAGCCCCCGCGCACAGCAGCCCCTGGCTCGGCCCTCCCTCCCTGCAGGGCACAGCGCCCCTGCAGCACCCGAGAGGAGGGGAAAATGTGTTTAGCTCCCTAAACACATTTAGGGAAACAGGGCCTCCGCCGACCTCGGGAGAGAAGTCGGGCTCCATGGTTCGCCACCTCGAGACTAACGAAACCTACCGTGTGAGACGGTTCCACGTTCTCTGTGTTCTCTGTTCTCCCCACCAGGCCTGGAGGGGCGGCCACCACGGCAGCGGCAGCAGGGCACACAGCAGGAGGGTTACAGAGGACTCATGGGGTGTTGGGCGAGGGCTGGGGGCCGTGGGGTGGGGGGGCCTGAGGAGGCGGGGCTCTGCTCCGGACTGGACGCCGTCGGGAAGGGGGCTTCTCGATAACCCATAACCCTGGTCTGGGGCCGCCTGGCTGGCTCAGTCGGTACAGCGTGTGACTCCTGATCTTGGGGCCGCGAGTTCGGGTCCCACGCTGGGCACAGAACTTCCTTAAAACAAACAAATCAATAACCCCTAGTCCACAGGGCCTGGAGCCAGCTGGGGCTGGGGAAGCAGAGCCTGCAGCCGGGCCCGGGAGCGCGGGGAAGGTCTGGTCAATGTTCGTGCTGTCATCGTGTTCAGTGATGACCGGGCCTCTTCTCTTTGCCTTGATTATCGTCAGAGGGGCCTTGTCCAATGTTGATATTCTGTGCCGTTGCTCACGTTCCGCATGAGAACACTGGGCTGTGACGACAAGCCCACCCCTGGCTGCCAGGGCTACTTTCTGACCCTCGGGGATGACGTCAGGGGACAGAAGGCCTCCGGTCCCTCCAGCTGGAACAGCTCTTGCTGCCCCCTTCCTCACCCCTGGCTGGCTGGGGACCGCCAGCAGGGCCTGAGGCGTGGGACAGAACGTGAATGAGGCAGCCACGGGCCTCTACCCTGTGCGGGGGTGGCCGGGCGCACTCCTGGAACTCCGTGCCAGGCCAGCTCACTGTTCCAGCCAGAGCAGGAGTGAGGCCGGGTGTGAGCTGCGGCAGTGGCGACAATGGGAGACACCCCAGCAGGAGAGAGCCCTCACGATCCCTCTTCTCAGGAGGCATCTGGGTACCTGCACCTCAAGTTTCAGGTGTGCTCCTGGGAAAAGCAGCTCTAGGGGGAGGGGAGGGGAGGAGAGGAGAGGGGCTGGAGGCAGTGGGGGATGGGGGAATGAGCTGGGGCAGAGGTGACAGTGGGGACCAAAGGCAGGACAGAAAAATCACGAAGACTCAGTTCCCGTCTGGAATTTAAAGGTGAGGGAGGGGGAAGCATTGAGAATGGGCCTGAGTCAGACACCAGAGCACAAAAGCACTGGTGATCAGTGGACTAGTCCCAGCTGCAGGCGGCATGGTGCCGTTATTGTCACTTAGGCAGGAAGTCCCCCCACCCCCCACAGTATCAGCAATCATAGTCACACACAGTGATCACACTACCAAAACCCCCCCAGAACACTCTTTCTCCGAAGCGTCTAACTTGGTGGGATGCTCAGGTGAGAGCTAACCAGAGAACGGGGCGCTCACAGCTGGGCTGGGCCACCAGGTGGGGAGGCGGGAGCCTAGGACAGCGGGGGAGTGAGGCATAACCCTTCTCCAAGGACACACTCCAGAAGACACCCGTGCTGAGAGTCTTCATCATCATCATCATCGTAAGGCTAGGCAGGCTGCGGGCTGAGGCAGCAAACCTGAGAGAGAACAGGGTGTGTCACCTGTCCCCAGGTGGGCCAGCTCCCTGGAGCTCTCTCCTCCCTTACCCCCTGTATTGGTTTTCTAGGGCTGCTGTAACAAATTACCACACATCTGGTGGCCTGAAACAGCAGAAATTTATTCTCTCCCAGTTTTGGAGGCCAGGGTCCGAGATCACAGTGTTTTCAGGGTAGGTTCCTCCTGAGGGAGGATTCTGGGGGAGAGTGTTCTTTCCTCTCTTCCAGCTTCTGGTGGCTGCCAGCTTGCTTGGCACTCTGTAGCGAGTGGCTGCGTCACCCCTTGCCTCTGTCTTCATCTTCACATGGCCTGTGTGTCTGTGTGTCTCTCCTCTGATAAGGACGCCAGTCATTAGATTTAGGGTCCACCCTAACCCAAGATGGTTTCATCTTGAGATCCTTAATTACTTACACCTACAAAGACCTGTCTTCAAATAAGGTCCCCTTCTGAGCTTCCAGGTTGACACGAATTTTGGAGGCACACTAACCAAACCCTTGCACCCGCCAAGAAGTCTCACCACTGATGTTACTCGAGGGTGAGGTCCTAAAGATGAAGTAGACCCAGAGACCAGGTCTGAAGCCCTAAGTAGCACTAGGGGCTACTCAGTGGGTGTCAGGTGCTCCAAGGAAGCTGCTGCTGCCACCCACAGGGCTACCATCTTGGTCAAGCCTCCAGTATCCCAGGATAGATGGCCACAAGGACCAAGGCCAGCAAGGTCCCACTGGCCCCTGCCACCAGAGTTCTATGGGGATGCCTGGTGTCCCTAAGAAGCTGCTGCCAGGGGTGGTCAGTGAGGCCCGCTACACGGCCACCAGGGCTACATGGTCACCTGGGCCATCTGCCCAGCCACCTTTGAAGCCCCTTCCAAGCTACAGCTTCCTCACCCCAGAATCCTGGAAGGAGACTTTGCTCAGGTCTCTGAAGATCCACCTGAGGACTCAGAAAGAGAATGTGGGCTCTAAAAGGAGCTATTGGGCAGCATTTTTATATGAGAAAAATCAAGGGAGCTAAATTTGAAAAAGGAAAAAAAAAAAAAGGACAAAAGGAAGTGGCAGGCAGGGGAAGCCTGTGGCTCCCTACAGGGGACATCTCAGACCCCCAGGCCCTGTTTCTGCTCAAGGAGCACCAGCCATGAGGGGAGTGAGCATGAGACGAACCGCTCTGAAAGCTGCCAGGCACAAAAATATGGAAATGCTATTTTTAACTTAAAAGCTTATGAGATACAATATAGTTCAGTTGGGGTAAGTCAGAAGACATAATAATACATCATCTCCCCAAATGAGAAACAGGAAACAAAACTGGATGATGCTCCTGTGGCCTCATAATGGAACCTGAAATACCCAGAGAGCACTCTGCTTAGGCACAGCACCTGTTAAATAACACAGTGGACACCCTGTGGGTGCCTGGTCGCTGAGCGGTCCCAGGTACTGAGCCCAACCAGGTGCTGGGCCCAAAGACAAGCTGGCCAGGGTCCCCACAGCAGACCCTCAGCTGCCTCCCTGGCCCAGGGGAGGCTGACAGGCTGAGGATGGGGAGACCAAGGGCCAGGTGGCCAGGTGGCTTGGAGGAAGCACCACGGCCAGCAGCAGAGCTGGAAACGGTCAGAGGGAAGAGAGATGGCCAGGCAGGGAAAAGTCAGGTGAATCTAGGGCTGGTGGACAAAGTGTGTACGGAGGGCCTCCCGAATCTTCCCAAGGACAATAGGCTTTTTGTCCTTTGGGGAGGGAGCTGAAGAACCACCACACGTTGGGGAGAAATGGCCCCAAGTTAAAAAAAATCCTGCTGGCCTGAGGTTGGAGCCTGACTGGGTGGGAGGGGGCTCATCAGGAGTCCAGGGGGGGAGGCCCAGGGGAAGAAGGAGGCTCAGTGAGGAGGCTGTCACCAGGCTTTGGGGCTGTGGAGTGGGGGAAGGGGGACACTTAGGAGACACCTTGGTTCCCAGCTTGAGCAGCCACCAAGGAATACAGGGGAACAGCCCACCTGGCAAGCAGGCAAATGACGAATTTGCTCTGGGAAAAAATTTGCTCTGGAGCCCTGGGCCCAGTGACGAACAGCGTTTATAATCCACGAATTTCCATGGCCTGCTTCGGCCATCGCACTCTTCCCACTCATGTGTGTTCTGGAAGCGTTCAGAGGAAACATCTGCCCCAGAACATGACATCACTAATGTAACAGTCAATATTTGACAGAAATCTATTTAGCAGACGCTCGCTCTCACCTAGCAACCCGCTCATCGGCAAACGGAACACCCTACTCCTGACAATGGAGTTGCCCTTCGTGCTCTGACTGAGGTCAACAAGGAATTCCCAGCTGGGGACTCCACCCTTCTCCCAGAGACACTGAGACACTGAGAACCAAACTAAAGCAACAGGACTGAGACGCTGGGATGTAGGAAGCAGTGGGTGGAAAAGCTGTGTGCAGAAGCCAGGGGTGGAGGCCATCGGCCACGTGGGTTCCGCCCTCCTGGGTAAGACGACACAAGCGAGCCCTGGCGCCAGCGGGGCAGGCCGGACCCGGTGGCACTGGCTCTTTCTGAGGCAGATATAATGAATCCAAAGATCCACTGGACAGGCCTTGAGACACACAAATAAATGGCAAAGCCAGGCCTCCAGCCCAGGTCTGACTCAAACTCAGGGCCACACCCGCCATCAACACTGGACCTAAAATCAAGGGCTGCACAGATCAGGTCATTAGGATGGAGCGATCTAGGGACACCTGGGGGGCTCAGCGGTTGAGCACCTGCCTTCGGCCCAGGGTGTGATCCCGGAGTCCCGGGATCGAGTCCCACATCGTGCTCCTCGCATGGAGCCTGCTTTTCCCCTCTGCCTCTCATGAACAAATAACATCTTCAAAAAAAAAAAAAAAAAAAAAAGACAGTGACTGAAGCATCAGTGAACAGTAGCGTCAAGTATGACCATCAGGAAAAAGCTATTACTAAAAGTAGCCCGCCTCTCAGGGGTTGTGGTTGCTCAGTCACTCTACCCAACTGACTCAGGGCTTCCCGATATTCCTGTAGGTCATTCAGTGTCCAGGGTGGCTGCACGTCAACACCCCCCCCACCCCAGGAGCTGGGCCCGGCTGCCGGCTGCCAACAACGCTTACCTCTGGTCTGCAGCAAACCCAGATGCTGACGTCAGATGAGCCACATGGCGGGAACTGTCTGGGCTCATCTGACAGACCCAGCTACAAAAGCGACGTCACGGAACAGAGGCTGGTCTCTTTTGGCAGCACCGACACAGAGGCCTCTGTAAAGACCAGTTCCCGACAAACATTTCCAGTTGCCGGTCTTCCTCAGAGTCGTTGTCCAGGGAAAGGGGACGGCGCCACAACGGCTGTCAGGTGAGATACCTCGTTTTCCCACAGCAGCGTGACTCTGTAAGATCTTCAGGTTTCGTTTTTAAGTCGGTGCAATCGTGTTTTAAAAGGTGAACACCTCGTAATAACCTACGTCACACGCTGAGGCTGTTATTCTCTGCGGAAAGAGCTAGTTTCGTACATTTGTGAACCAGTTCTTCCGGCCCTGATGAAACAGAAATGTGACGCTGTGATTTAGAATAAGAAATATAGATTGGGTCTTTGTCCCCGTTCCTGTCACGCAGTTCCTAAAACCCCTGTAAGTTCCGTTCCAAGAGGGCCACCCTCTCGGGTCCCCTCTCTTTGGGAGCTTTGTACTATCGCTCAATAAACTTTGCTGCCCACTAAACAGAAAAACAATTTTGCTTTCCAAGAGCTATAGGGACAGCTTTTCATTATAATGTTTAGTTTTGTTCCCAGTTCCTGAAATAGCTCCAGGTAGTAAAGGAGAAGGGGGCATCTTCCATGATTCCTAACAAGCTGCTTGCCACCAAGCCAGGTTGTGCTAAGGGCTGACCAGTGGCTGCAGCTCCCAGGTAGCAGCTTTCCCTTGTAAGACACTCCCTTAACCTTCCAAAGAAGTGCCTTTATTTAGTTACAGGGCTTAGGAAAGGAAAAAAAAAAAAAAAAAGCTCTAGAAAAAGGAAATTCCAAAATAGGCCCAGGTGCAGTGAGTATCTGGCAGGGTCTGGGTCGCAGTCTCTTGCGCTTACTGGTGGTCACTTCCAGGTTGTGAGGACAGTTCTCCCCGAGTCTCTTGATCGGCCCCCTTTGGGCCCCAGCGACTGGCCCTGACGACTTCTCAGCTCTCGGTCGGCCCCGTCACCTTGCGCCAGCTCCTCATCGTAGCTGGAAACAGAGGAACATCTTCAGGACTTGGCAGTGGCAGGGGCAGGGGCAGCCCGAGCTGCAGTGTGCAAATCCCACGTCGCCCAGGGAAGCGGCCCGGCCCCCACCCTGCATGCCCCCAGCCTGCCAGCCCACCAAACACTGCCTGAGCCCACAGAGCTGACGGGTACAGTCTTGTTAAAGTATTTTCATGAACCGTCCCTGGTTCACACAGTTGGTTGACATTTTATAAAGGCTACCAGATGGAAGTGGGCAGTGACCCCAAAGGAAACATGAATGAGACACCAGGGTGGTGCGGAAATAAACTGACGTCTGGAAATACTTTTACACACAGCATCTGTGGGTGGGTAGGACTGACCCCGTTTCAGATAGGGAACAGGGTGTAAATGACCCACCCGGGAGGGGAGGGCCAGGACAGGGAGAGCAGTTCATCCACAAGAAAGGCCAGATCTAGCCCCCACCAGCTAACGACCACGCTGCCCCTCCCCACTAAGTTACGCCCCTGGCCTGTGGAGTGTTAAGGCACGACCTGCGTAGGAAACAGCCTGGGCTCTTGCCTCAGAAAGAATGGAGCGGGAGGCCGGGGTGCCCCTGCCCGATTATGGCACCTGGGTAGTCCCCGGCCTCTCTTGCTACGGTGAGCCCCCTCTTATGGGGCCGATGAGGGTGCAGAAGTATCACTACCCACCTGTAGGCCCTGGCAGGTGCAGGCTTTGGCGAATGGGGTCCCCTGTCCCCACGGTGACTTCACATCAACCTCCTGACTGATCCACACTTCCTATCTGAGACTTGGAGAGGTTTACTCGGTGTCCTGAGGTCACACGGCCCAGATGGGGCAGACGTGGGGTCAAGTAAAACTCAAAACTTCAGATTCCTAATTTGGAACTTTTCACCCTGTGGATCAGGAGTGTGAAAAGCCTTTCTGTTCACTATGAAACGTCATTCCGAGGTGTCATTTGGTGGCCACGCCTTGAATATCATCGAAGAGCACATTCGTGTCAAATGCAAAAGGTACTAAGATGCTCAGTTATGTTGCATTGGCTGAGTTTTGCTGACTTCTAGAAAAGGGTCTATTTCCGTCAGACATTTATTCCCAGAATTAGAATCTGCAGGGTGAGTGTGGTGTGGGATAGAAGCTTTGGAAGGTGACGACAGATTTTCTGCACTGTACTTCTGGTGGCAAACACAGGGCCAAAAGGGAAGGGCAAGGAGGCAGGAGGCCAGCTTGTTGACCATTATATACACGGCAGGCACTACGGGGTTTCCCTCTGCCAGGTGGGGATCAGGGCAACAATGGAGGGCCCTCCTCCCGCCACCTCCCCAAGGAGAGATGACACTGGAGGGTCTGCCTGTGGGGGCCCCTCCCCACGCCAAGGACTGCTAGAGCCCCTGGGCTCCCCATTCACATGTTAGCAACTCCCCGTTAGCACTGTGCTGCTGGTTCTGCGTCTCCATAGCTGACCTGAGGACTGCAGTGACCCCATTTGTCTGGTTTACAGTTGCCCAGGCACCGCACTCCTGGGTGGGGGTGCAGTAAGGATCTCCTGATTGATGGGGGGTGGATGGGGGGAAGGATCACAAAGGGTTACCAGTCTCATTGTGGGTTTGGCAAGCAGCTGGCATCTGGGACGGGCTGTTCCCAGGGGCGGAGTGGCCCCCGAATGAGCTAATGTGGAGGAGAATCAGGCAGGACGGCCTTCTAGGCCCCTTCCCATTCTAGCAGGCTTTCCTCCTGGCTTTCTGACAAGCAGATTGCACTCATTGGCAGGGCTCAAATAGTAGCATTTTGTTTTGTTTTTTAAGATTTATTTACTTATTTATGCAGAGAGAGTGTGAGGGAGGAGGGGCAAAGGGAGAGAGAGAATCTCAAGCAGACTCTGTGCTAAGTAGGGAACCTGATGAGGCTCCATCTCACGTTCATGACCCTGAGATCACGACCCAAGCCGAAACCGAGAATTGGACACTTAACTGCCTGAGCCACCTGGGCGCCCTGGACGAGCGTCTCAAAGGCTCAACCATACCCAGCACGCTCGCTCTTTCTTTTTCTTTCTTTTTCTTTCTTTCTCTTTCTTTCTTTCTTTCTTTCTTTCTTTCTTTCTTTCTTTCTTTCTTTCTTTCTTTCTTTTTTTCTTCCTTCCTTCCTTCCTTCCTTCCTTCCTTCCTTCCTTCCTTCCTTCCTTTCCTTCCTTCCTTTCCTTCCTTCCTTCATTTATTTATTTATTCCCAGCACCTTTAGACCATTCATTCATTCATTCATTCATTCATTTATTTATTCCCAGCACCTTTAGACCAGGGGCCTGGAGGCTGCAGGCGCAGAGGGCCGGGATTCATGGCTTGGTGGCCAGGACAGCCATCAGGGCAACAGGAGCGCCTGTTTCTGGGGGCCAGCACCAGCGGTGTGACCTTGGGCCATTAAGTGGCAGCCTGGCCTCCTCCTCTTGCTGCTGGCACCCTCTGGAGACTGCTGTGAGCTCTCCATGGAAGGCAGAGCACCCAACATGGTGGAGTCAGGGCCCTCCCTCCCCACGCAGCACAGCCACCGCTGCAAGAGGCTGTGGCTGTGAGCCAAAAGCGGGATTCCCGACGATGAGGTCATCTGAAGCCCTGGGAGGAGTCCTGAGTGGAAACGCCTGGAACTATCAGCTCTGACTGGAGCCTTCTTTACTCACAGGAGTGAGGACAGGGTAGCTGAGTGGGTGGGGGGAGACCTTTTTGTCTCGTCAACAGCAGTGAGGCTCTGACCTTTGCGTCTTATACTGAAAATAGGGTGTCTGTGGCCTCCCTTGAGGCCCCCACGGGCTCCTGACAGCCCCGCCTGCCCACCACCCTGGCTGGTTGGAGGGAGATCCACCAAGGACCTCAGACTCCTGGCAGGAGGCAAGATTCCTCCACACACCCCGTCCCTGTCGCAGAGGCTGTCAGGGCTCAGCCACCATCTCCTTCACGTCACCCCGCACCTCCCACGTTGCCCCCCAGAGGCTCTGGACACGCCCCAGTCTGACCACCCCTTCTCTTCCTCAGCGCACTCAGAACTCATGTGTCACCAGCAAGCCCGAGTCCTTCCTCCACCTCATCCTAGAACGTCCCCTGCACCTTCCTGCGCTAAAACCTGGCTCTCCCCAAGACGCTGCTTCCCTGCAGCCCCTCAAATGCAGGTGCTTTCTTTCCCACCCATCATGCCCCTGGGCCTGGAGGGAGCCCCCCCTCTTCAAAACCTCCTTCCACCACCCTTCCCATTCGTGCAGTTACCTGTAACCCCAATTCCTTACGATTCAGGCTCCTGGCTCACAGCTGTAGGCAACTGCGGTGACCAAACAGGAGACCCCAATTCCCTGACCCTGTGCCCCCCAATGTCCCGTCCTCTGCCCCCGTTCAGGTACATTCCAACACACCCCTCCACCAACCTTGTCATGTCCAGTAACCGCAACCCCTGCAAAACCCGGATGGTAGACACTCCTTCTGACCCCTGCCTCTTCTTTCCCAGGTGACTTCCCTGGTGCCCCGGCCCCAACAACCCACAACCACTGGGTCTCCCAGCACCTCACCCTCTCACCCTCCTCCTTACCTGACAGGTCCCCAGCGCTGATCACTTCCAACCATCTGCTGACCCCGCACTCAGCCCAGGCAGCTGACCGTGGCTGGAGACAACAACTAACCACGCCGAGCACACCTGAAGCTCACCACTGCTGCCCCCGGAGGCCCCACTTCCCTCTGACTTAGCCTTCCACCTTCCCCCGTGCTGCACACAGACGTCAACACCATGCAGGGGCAGAGGCGGCGAGGCGGCCAGCGTAGGCTCTAGAGGCTGAGCCCCCATGCCAGCAGCCTACCTGTGTGGGCCTGGGATCCGTGTGCAGTGTTCACTACAAATCTCTTCCTTTGTTTCCTTGAAACGTTAAATGCGCATTTCTACTCTTATAGAAGTACTAACGTGATCCTCACACATGTGCCCCTCCCAGTTCGGGGCACTATTTGCCTCTCTTAGCCAGTTCCCCCTCCATACCTCGCAGCCCACAGGAGTCGCTTCCACGCAGACAAGCTAATGTGCATCCCTCCGCACTCATGTAAGTAGTCCCACATGTAGATGTCTGTCCACGCTGAGGGAGGGCAGAGGCCTCTACTTGCTTTACGTGGGCCTTTCTGCAACGTGCTTTCCTCCTCAGCCTCCCAGGCCCCATGCAGAGCTCCTGGGCCATGTTTTCAATGGCCACCTGCTATTCCAGGGTATGAATGAACAGTACTTTGCTCAACCACTGCCCCCTTGACAGGCTCTCACACTGCTTCCACTTTTTGTCACGGCCAGCAGGCCACTTTACCTCTAAACCTTTGTTCCCACGTGTGTAAGAGGAGTCTCAATGACAATACTGACCTCAGGAGGTCGCTGGGGAAATGAAGCATGATAACACGCAGGAGGCACTCAGCACGGTTTCTGGCGCCATGGTCAGCCCTCGGCTGTCAGGTCTTATCATTAGCATTTCCCGTCTCCCTGACTCTACAAGATAGCTCTCATTAGCCCCCACTCAAGATAGACTAGCAGGCTCTAAGAGTTACAGAGACTTTGTCAACGTCCCACAGCTCCAAGCAGCGGGGCCAGGGTGCGAGCTGGGCCTCTCTGCTCCACGGCGGCCAGGGAGAAGGTAAGGCCCAGAGCTCTCCTGCTTCTACCTCCTGCACCTGGCCCAGTGGCTCACATGGTGCCCAGCAGGTGGCAAACGCTTAATCAATATTGATTAAGCACAAGATCCAAAGACCTAGTTTAATACCTGTTTTTCCACTACAACAGGATCTCTCCCATAATGTCATTAATAAGTGAAACACTCGGCCCAAACAAGACCAGTCCACACACAGGCAGAAACCCCTAGCTGGGCCTTGGCGCCCCTCAGTCTGAAACACACAAGGATGGCTGCCCAGTCTGCACACAGACTTACAGAATTTCGTAATTGCCGAGAACTTCCTTCGGGGGTGACTTGTTCCATTTACAGTCCGGAATCTCGCCATTAGGTACGGCAATATTGAGGGTGTCGTTGATCAGGTTATACTTAAGGATTCGGTCGTTGGCAGTGCTGGAGGTAAGAGATGGGGACGCGTTCACCTACGAGAAGAAAAGGAACCATGTTCTTCACTTGGATCACAGACTCCCGTGGCACGAATACACACGCTGCAGAGGGAAATGCCGGCTACCACACGTTTTAGATCCAGCTGTCATTTCATACTGTTCGTATCTAATATCCTCAGGTGCTTTGTATAGGAAGCGTTTTAGGATCTGCTTCCATTAGCTATTGGATGAAATATAAATAATACTGAAAACAGTTGGGATTATGACCTACAAATCACTCATCACATAAATAAAAATGTTAAGTGAACACAGATCATAAACATAACCGTAGTGTCTACCTGTGTGATGAGCTCTGAACCAAGTATTGTGAGCTGCCCCGCTTGGGATGCCAGGGTGGCTCAGCGGTTGAGCATTTGCCTTCTGCTCAGGGTATGATCCCAGAGTCCCAGGGTCAAGGGACTCCCTGCAGGGAGCCTGCTTCTCCCTCTGCCCATGTCTCTGCCTCTCTCTGTGTGTCTCTCATGAATAAATACATAAAATCTTTTTTTTTTAAGTTTTTACTTATTTATTCATGAGACACAGAGAGAGAGACAGGCAGAGACATACGCAGAGGGAGAAGCAGGCTCCATGCAGGGAGCCCAATGTGGGACTTGATCCCAGGACTCCAGGATCACACCCTGAGCCAAAGGCAGATGCTTAACCACTGAGCAACCCAGGCATCCACATACATAAAATCTTTAAAAAAAGAAGGAAGGAGGAAAGAAGAAAGGGAAGGAAAGGGAAGGGAAGGAAGGGGGAAAGAGGAAAGAGGAAAGGGGAAAGGGGAAAGGAGAAAGGGGAAAGGGGAAAGGAAAGGAAAGGAGGAAAGGAAAGCTGCCCTGCAGAGCTTTGCTAGGACCAGTGAACCAAATAGCATTGTTGAGTTGAAGTAAAAAGTAATGCCCCCCCCCCCTTTAAGTCATCTCTATACCCAACATGGGGCTCAAACTCATGACCTGAAGATCAAGAGTTGGATGTTTTACAGACTGAGCCACCAGGGCATCCCCAGTGGGCCCTTTCTGGTGGAGAGAGTAATACTTCACCAACAAAGCAATATTCTGACAAATGAGGAACCCATCTGGTAGACAGAAAGTTAGTCCCATGAAGCTAAGCAATGTCAAAGATGGGCAGGTTAAAATGCAACTATTCACCGTCTGTGAAGTCCCACTGGCCCTCAGTCATCGCCTATTTATTCCTACTTTATTTATTTTTTTAAAGATTTTATTTATTTGAGACAGAGAGAGAGCAAGCGAGAGAGGCCAAGCATGGGGAGTGGTAGAGGGAGAGGAAGAAATGGGTTCCCTGCTGAGCAAGGAGCCTGATGCGGGGCTTGATCCCAGGACCCCAGGATCATGACCCGAGCCAAAGACAGATGTTTAACCGACTGAGCCACCCAGGTGCCCCATGTTTACTCCTACTTTAGACACAGTTGTGACCTTGGTTAGCCGTTTCCTTGGGCCATGTGAGACTGGAGGCAGCAAGTGGGCAAGGTGTTCAGGTTTCTCCCAAACCCCGTGCTGCTAGCGAGGTATCTAACGTATGCAGTGAAAGAGGCCATGTGATCCCTGGGGGCCCTTGGAATGATATCAGTGTTTCATGATGCTGTAATTATTTTAAATACACTAAAACTACAATCTGTTATTATGCTAAAAGTAATATTTGCAATTAAGATCCTAGCTCATCAAGGAAAACTTGACTTCCATTCAAGTTACTTTCTTTTTCTTTAAAGATTTTAATAATTGAGAGAGAGAGAGAGAGAGAGAGAGAGAGAGAGAGGGAGGGAGGGAGGGAGAAGCAGACACTCCACTTAGCAGGGAGCCCGATGCAGGGCTCGATCCCAGGACCCCGGGATCATGGCCTGAGCCAAAGGCAAACACTTAACTGACTGATCCGCCCAGGCGCCCCTGAGTTTCTCTGTTTAAAATGGAAAAAAAGGGATCCCTGGGTGGCGCAGCGGTTTGGCGCCTGCCTTTGGCCCAGGGCGCGATCCTGGAGACCCGGGATCGAATCCCACGTCAGGCTCCCGGTGCATGGAGCCTGCTTCTCCCTCTGCCTGTGTCTCTGCCCCCCTCTCTCTCTGTATGACTATCGTAAATAAATAAAAAAAAAAAAAAATAAAATAAAATGGAAAAAAACATTCTGTAGCACCAAGGACAGTGCACGAGACTTCTAAAATGGAAAAACAACATAAATATTTTATACATGCATCTGTAGATCTCTGTATACATCTATGTATATCTCTGTGTGCGCTCACACACACACACACACACACGCGCGCATGTATGCACACCCTTTTGGCAGTATAATAAGTAATCTGGAAAACACTGTTCTGGAACAGTTTGCTCTCTGATAACTTGGCTCTCCCAGCAGCTTCCTGTAAGGGCTTCCATTGAATTTCCCTCTCACTACAATTTCCCTTTGGGACTCAGCTTTCCTGGCTCAAAACAGGACTGAGCTAAAGAGCTTGAGCCGTTTGCCTCCGCTGATGCTCAGAGGCACACACAGGGAGACGGACCAACGGGCCAACAGAACGTGTCCAACCCCACGTCCCCTGAGCCCCAAGCTCCTCTCTCTGGCTGCAAAGCAAAGCAGGGCAACCCAACAAGGCAGGCTCAATATCCGGGCCTCAGGCAAGTAGGCCAGTGCCCACTGCTGCTAAGGCCTGGTGTAAGCGTCACCCAGGCCTGTCACCAGAGGAAGGCTGTGAACACTAGGACCGCCCCCACTACATCTCATCTAAGCCTTGAAACAGGCAGATGAATCCACTCCCACACTATGCCTTGCTCAGAAGAAGACAATACTGCTATCCCTGGATAGCGTGCTACCGCTGCCCACAGGCTCCGGGGTCTGGACGCTCCTTTCCTGAACGGGAGCCATGTCCCCATGAGGACAGGGCAGGGCCTCCAGGGCACAGATGTGTCCAGAAGAGGGAAGTGGCTGTGTGGGCTGGGCTCAGAGGGGAGACATTGGGGGCGTGCTCACTGGTCACCCCCAGCAAGCCTGTCGCTCCTGACCAACTGTCCCCATACACCCCCTCTGCCCCAGCCCTGCCACCCGACCCCACGGGCTGCTGCAGCACAGTTACCTCGATCAGCCAGGGCTTCAGCTTGTCGTCGATGATGATATCGTACCCATAGCATTCGAAGCAGTGTTTGTCGTTGTTCATCACCGGCTGCAAGAGAGTAACCGCCAGGGGCTTATATGGCCGGCCTCGGGGAGGGCCCAGCTGACACCACCGCCCACTGTGGAGGCCTGCCTGGCTGTGCTGGGCCTCCCTGCCTGGGCTCAGACACAGAAACGTCCCTTAGCCTCCGAGGGGACCCCATGAGGCAATCAATCCCCAGTGTCTCCGGGCCTTCCTCATTAGAGACCTGATCACAGCAATAGCGTCTCTGTCCACATGGGGCTGTCCTTGGAGTGGACAAAAGTCCCACTCCACACCCTGCACAGAGTTAAGGCCTGTGCAGCTGTGTCACAGACACTGTCCGCCAGGCTGCTGGGCCCTTCTCGGGGATGGGGGCTGCTAGGTCATGAACCTCTGTTCTGTGACAAGAGTTGATCCACTTATTAACATTTCTGGATTTTCTTTTTAATTTTCAATTCCACTTCATAAACTATTCTCTAGGGGCATTAAAAAAACCCTGCTAGCCAGGGTTTCACTTACAATGCAGATTCCCAGGCCCTGCCCAGGCTACCTCGTTCAAAACCTATGAGAAGGCCCCAGCAAGCAGCCCTGTCCCACGTGCCCTTGGGACCCATGTGCACCCCACAGTGGGAGAAGCACACACACGAGAGTGAGGCCTTCTTATACACTAGTGGGTGTGTGCACGCTACTTCAAACATGGATTTAGAACCAAAACTCCAGGGCAGCCCAGGTGGCTCAGCGGTTTAGCGCTGCCTTCAGCCCAGGGCCTGATCCTGGAGACCCAGGATCGAGTTCCACGTCAGTCTCCCTGCATGGAGCCTGCTTCTCCCTCTGCCTGTGTCTCTGCCCCTTTCTCTATCTCTGTGTCTCTCATGAATAAATAAATAAATCTTAAAAAAAAAAAAAATAGAACCCAAACTCCAAACTCCTGTGGGGAGATGGGCCAGTCCAACCTCACGCACTGGAGGGAAACCAGGCTGGGGGTGGGGGTGGGGGGAGGGACTTTTTTCCCAGGGGAGTCAATAGAACGGCACCTCCCCAGAAAGCCTGGGGCCCAAGCCCCGGCCACTGCCCACATCACCATTCCAGCAGCCTCTGCAGGACAGGAAGCTGCTAACTCTCCAACTGCCCCCCGCCCCCGCCGTCTCCCGATTTCAGAGACAGCCTCCAAGGCGCAGAAAGGCTGGGCATACACTCTCCACGGGGCATGCGGCCTACTCCGAGTGCCAGGCCGAGTGCCCTCACGTCCCATGGCCAGTGGGCCAGTCTGCTGGGAGCCCCCTGGCAGGCCCGGGCCCCTGTGCTGGTCCCTGTACTTCCTCACTCCAGGGCTGAGCCTCCATGCTGCTCATGAGTCACGGGGTGATGCGCATCTGGGAGCCTACGGGGGAAGCTCTGAACATAGCAGCCCACATGCTGGTGGCCGGTGTTTATTCCTTTCCTTTCCTTTCCCTCAAAAATAGATGCACACCTGCTTTGGAACAGTAAAACGAAACAAACAAAAGCCACAAACCAGCCAACAAACAGCAGACTTGAGGCAACAAGCAGAGAGGTGGCTTTCTGCAGCCTGTGTGTCCGTGACATCACAGAGGGGGAGGCCTAAACACGGGGAGGCCACCGCGAGGCCATCTCTAACCATCAGCTTACAGCAAAGTATGCCCCCTTGATCCAAGGGCACAGAAGAGCTGCTGGTGACATCAGCAGGACCTGTCTGGGCACCTGGCATGCCCTGGGCAGCACGTAGCCAGAAGTTGGCCCCTCCGCCTCACCACAACTGCCTCGGCCTCTGGCAAACATGTGGATATGAGGAAGGTGAGCCCATGAAGACGAGTATTTTTGGCAAAAGAACAAGCGTCCCCCACTGCTCACTCAGTGGCTCTCTGCTCCCAGGCCCCAGCCCCACCCCTCACCCCGGCACTCACCGCCACAGCCTTCAGCGACTGCACAATAATCCAGTGGATCTCGTCAAACAGCTTGCTGGTCACCTCCTTGCCTCTGGTGCTCTCCAGGTAGAGCCGCAGGTTGCTCACGGTCCACTTGCCTCCGTGGATGTGGTTGTAGTCTTCCTGGTGACGGCAGAGGGCACAGGCCCCCAGGCAATGCACCCTGAGGAATCTAGCACTTGCTCTCTCACCCTAGAACATGTGCGGGGTACCCCTGCCCTGGATCCCCCATAAGGCACATTCGAAAATACTCACCTCTATAGTACACTCAAAATTAGTAATTCATGCCCTGCAGTGGCCCCAAGACCCCCCCCCCCCCACTTTAAGCCCAAGACACTCTTCTGGCAGAGACCCTCTCTGGGGGCTACCCTTGGCTAACAGGAGCAGCCCAGTCCAACGTTATCCCTACCCTGGCAGCCGGCCACCTGCAACAGGCTAATACTGGGGTATCTCAGTCCCTCGTGGCTCCATCCCAGGTGGTTCTACAGACCACCCAGCTCCAGGTACCCTGCCACCACTGCATCCCAGTTCGACTCTCCCTCTGCCCTGTCTGGATGCCCCGCCCATCCCCACGCTCCCCAGCAGACACCCTGCACACTCATCTCTGCCTCCGAGTCTGCTTCCAGAGGGGCCACATGCTGGCACCAGGCATCGTGGTCCAAGAGCACCACACATGTAACTCCTCACTACGTCTCGTCTGCGGTAAGAGCCTCAGGCTCAGAGGGGTTACAGGACGTGCCTGAGCTTCCACCCGGGCTGCGAGGAGCTGGCACCCAAGCCCGGCTTTCTCACCCTCATCCATAGCTCTTTCTATACCTCTGACCCTGAACATTGACTCTCTACCCAATGCTCTCTTTTGAAGCCAAGAAGCTAGAAAATCCTCAAGTACATCAGGACGTTATGAGGCCAGGTTTCGTTTTCTTAAGTATAAAGCTGAGAAGTGAAAATGAAAATCAAACCAGCCTAAGAAAGGACAAATACTGCTGACTCAAACCAGACTTTTTTTTTTTTTCATATTAATAGACTTAACCACAGTTTAATTAACCTCAGTTTGAAAAAGATACCTTTTGAGGTTAGAGACAAATTTACACGTCAGTTTCACTAAAATACCTTACAAGATGAGGGACCCAAGCATGCTCACCTCAGACAGACTCTCAATAACTCAGCCTTTGTATCCCTAAAAACAGGGACTCTGAGAAGTTACAGGAAAACCAGCTGCTGCCCACTGATACCTTTCTTTTCCCTGTTACAGAGTCTCTTCACTCTCAAGAAAAGTTCACTTAAAAAAAAGTTATAAAGGTGTAAAGTATCCACGGCAAAACGCTGCCTTACACATGCATCGGTATAAAGAGCAGGAAGTACCACCTACTTTTTGGACTGTAGGAACATTATTTAATCAGATTTATTTCAGAACACTTTACCAAGGCAATTTGCAAACACTGCCCGTGTAGGATGCACTCCTCCTCTTTCCATCCCTTTATCGATCTGCCTCCCGGTGGGCCCCCCTCCCACATGCCTGCACTCCCATTGCAGCCCCTGGAGGCCTCCCTCATCATCAGTCCTTCGCTACTGGTCCCTGAGCTGCCTGAGGGCGGGGATGCCCCTTCACCATCTCTGTCCCAGGCGCCAGGCTGTGCCCCCGACGACAGACTGCTTTAACATTTCAGGGCCCAGTATAACATCTGTCCCTCATGCAATTCTAAACGAGAGCCATGCCAGGCTTCTATTTGAGACTGAAATGTAGGTTTCTCAGAGTAAGCACTTTCTCATGTTAACAAGCGAAGCATTTACAAATAGAACCCAGAGAGAAAGCACAGAGGCTTCTGGTGCATTGCAGAGATGCCACGCCAAAAGTCCTGCCTTCTGCTTTCTCCTTCTATGGATTAAAAAAAACCCAAAAAAACAAAAACGGTTTCTGTTTCTTATAGACGAAATAGTGACTCAGCTGACTGGTGTCCTGAGAAGGCCCATCGAGTAGAGCCCTCTCGATTGCAGTGTGGCTCCCAGCCCCCAGCGGCCTGGCAGGCCGACATGCTCCGCACTGTCCTAAGGACACCAAGTGGTCTCAGGTCAGCATGGCCATTTCCCAGCCATGGCCAGACCTCACTAATTGTGCTACTTGGCGACGAAGTGCCTGATGTCATGGCTCAGCTTTCTCCGAGTGACATAAGTTTTGTGCTGCATCCCATGAGGGCTCATTCTCCTGATTATTATGAATAAGGTTCTGGCCAAGCCATCCTTGCTCCTCTAACCTTGAACATGTAACAGCGAGGCTCGCCAGTTTGCTGAGTGAAACCTGCTGGGTGGTGAACCAGGGTCGGCCTCACACAGAGGACTGTCAAGGCCCTCAGTAAGTGGAAGCCCTTGTCATTTCATGACCAGCCAGGTAATACCAGGGTTCCTGTTTGCAGATGAGGTGGCTCAGAGAGGTCAGGGTGACCAGCCCGAGTCACACAAAGGGTAAGTGATGGACAGAGGTTGGAGCTCAGGCTGGTCTGACCAAACCCTTCAGTAGGCTGCTCAGAAAAAGCTTGTTTTCTATCAACACTGACCCTCTTTCCACTCAAATTACATTTAAAAAAATACCCAAAGCTTCCAATCAAGCAAGATCCAAAGGGAAGAATCTCTCATAAAGAAATGAGACCTTCTGAACATTCTTGTAAGGATGACAGTAAAGCCCCAAAGCCCACACAGAACCTTCGATGTCCTGTGTCTTGGCCTTTGGTGGCCTCCCCGGCTACTTCTCACCCCACCACATTCACTCTGGCAACTCCGGCCACCCTGCCCTTCTCACAGCTCCTGTAGTGCTCTTTCCTGCCATGGAACCCTGGCACACGCTGCACTCTCTGCTAGAATGCTCCTTCCCCACCTGGGTAATCCCTGCTTACATCTGACATCTCAGCTCAAGCACAACTTCTGCACAGGAGGCTTCTCCAGCCACCTGGACTAGGGACTCCTTCATCCCATGCTCTTCTAGATCTGCACTCCTTAGCTTCAGAGCATGCACCTCGGTTTGAGATGACACATTCCTCAGCATGGGACCAACCCAGGCAAGACAGGTGCTCGGTGATGAGTCTTTGAGGCATGAATGGCCAAGGATGCGTCCTCTCATGGGTTCTCCCACCACTCCCACGAGGGGGTGACATTATCACCTTTTACAAATGAGAAATCAAGGCTCGGAGAGTCATATTAAAACTCGCTCAAGGTCACAGAACTAGAAAGGCAGGGCTTGAACCCGGGGCTTTCTGCATGAGCCACCCCACTCGAGGCTGGCTCAGCTGATGCGCTGGGACAGCCACACTGGATACTTAGGCCTCCCCACTCCTCCTGAATGCCAGGGCATCTCGAATTCTGCTCCTTTCGCCGCAAATAGAAACCCACAAAATCACTCCATTTCCTTCAGCTCAAGTGAAAGGATGCGCTCACCCCATGTTTCTGAATGGCGACGTTGGTAAGGTGAACAAACATGTTGTCCAGCTCACTGGTGCTTGGGGTGTACTTCACTGTGCAGAAACGGCAAAATCCAAGTTTATACCTATGTTGGAAGTTAGATTACTTCAACACTCTGAGGAGAAGCACAAATAAAATATAACACTCGGGGGGGGGGGCACCTGGGAGGCTCAGTCAGTTAAGCGTCTGCCTTCGGCTCAGGTCATGGTCTCAGGGTCCTGGGATTCAGCCCCATGTCAGGCTCCCTGCTCAGTGGGGTTCTGCTTCTCCCTCTCCCTCCACCCCTCACCCTGCTTATACACTCTCTAATAAACAGAATCTTAAAAAACATATATGTAGATATGTAACACTTTGTTCCCTTAAAACCCATTTTTGGTTTTAAGCGTTTAAAAGAGCTGCTTTTTCACTTATGTTTCTTTTTTTTAGAACAGGCATACTGATACATAATCCACATGCCACAGAACCTCCACATAAAGTGTATAGCTCAGGGGCTCTTGGCTTACTCAGAGGTGCATGACCACCGCCGCACTCCATCTCCTGGGTTCGTCGCCACAGAGAAACCCTGTGACCGTTAGCAGTCACTCCCCGAGCCAGGGCTGGGCAAACGCTAATCTACTTTCCATCTCTGAAGAACTGTCTATTCTGGGTGTGTCAAAGCATGAGACAAGACTCCAGTGGTTCTTACATGTAACAGCGCAGCGGGCGGTAGGTCGACACCAGAACATACAAGCGCAGGTCAAACTTCCTCCCACCGATTAGCAACGGGTTGTTAATGTAGAGAGAGATCACGTAGGCTTCCTTAGTAGACTGAGTCATAAACCTAAACACATCAGAGAAAGTCAAAATTAGATGGCAAAGACCCAAGGTTGGTAATCAGCTCTCTGCCTCTCATTGAGAGGCTGATGCGTGGGGGGGATAAAATGGAGCTTAGGTGGCATCCACTCTGTGCCCCTGCCCCAGAGGACAGTGCCAGCAGTGCCTGGGAACCCACCAGGGGGTCAGCAGTGTGCACTCAGACTTAAATGCTCTGTACAAGAAGGTGACCCTGCCCCTCCTGGGAACCCTGACTGAGTCACCAGCCCTCCAGGAGAGAATCACACTCCAACATCTCTGAGCAGTTCAGGGCCCTCAGAGGCAGGGTGAGCCCCAGACAAAACCCCCTGGCCTGGTATCTAACCTCAGTTCCAAGGAGTCCTCAAACCCTGGGCAGAGACCTGACCTGAGACTGCCGAGAGCAATCCCTGCTATGGATCGCACACACTCCTGTGCGTTTCACACAGATTCACCTGTTCCCTCCCCATCTTGCCCCAGTGAGGTGCTACTGGCACCCCTCATTTACCCAGATGAAGCATGTAAGAGTCTACAGAAACAAAATGTACTCAGCAAGTATAGACAGGGATTCGAACACACATACCCCGGGCCCAGATCTTTTTTTTTTTTTTTTAATATTTTATTTATCTATTCATGAAAGACACACAAAGAGCGAGGCAGAGACACAGGCAGAGGGAGCAGCAGGCTCCAGGCAGGAAGCCTGATGTGGGACTCGATCCCGGGTCTCCAGGATCATGTCCTGGGCTGAAGGCAGATGTGAAACCACTGAGCCACCCAGGGATCCCCCCCTGGGCCCAGATCTTAAGCAGGTGCTTCACTGCCTCAGAAATACCAGGACTGAGTGGATCTCACAGTAACTTTCAGAAACAAAGAGCCACTTGCAAGGGTCCCTGCTCCTGGGACCATATGCTGATTGATATACCACTTCCTTTTGCAACTGGCCTCAGGTGGGAACCTACAATCAGTCACAGGACTGCAGCCACAGAACCTTGCCCTGGCGCAATGTGGCAAATGCCATACGCCTACAAAAGCAAGAGAGGAGAGGATGGGGATCCCTAGGTGGCTCAGTGGTTTAGCGCTTGCCTTTGGCCCAGGGTGTGATCCTGCAGTCCCAGGATGGAGTCCCGGGATCTAGTCTCATACCGGGCTCCCTTCACGGAGCCTGCTTCTCCCTCTGCCTGTGTCTCTGCCTCTCTTTCTCTCTCTCTCTGTGTCTCTCATGAATAAATAAATAAAATCTGGGGCAGCCTGGGTGGCTCAGTGGTTTAGCGCCTGCCCTTGGCCCAGGGCGTGATCCTGGAGACCTGGGATCGAGTCCCACGTTGGGCTCCCTGCATGGACCCTGCTTCTCCCTCTGCCTGTGTCTCTGCCTCTCTCTATGTCTCTCATGAATAAATAAATAAAATCTTAAAAACAAAAAAGAAAACAAGCGAGGGCCCCTAGCTCCCGGCCAAGACTGACAGGTGGCCTGGAACTCCTAACTCAGAAGCCCACAGGATGGGCGGGCCCTGCACTCACGAAGATGTTTTGCTGTCACGGGACCACTTTTTGATCTGTGAGAGCTTGTTGATCAGAAAGATGCCCTTCCCCTGGGCTTTGCCACAAGGTTTCATGATCCAGGTGCTGGAGGGGCTTTTCCTGAACTCCTCCACGAACAGGTTGTAGTCGGCGGGCAGCATGTAGGTGACTGGAACAAAGTCTGAAAGGTGAAATAAAGGAGACAGCAGTGGGTGAGCCAGGCCAATGTGGCCACAGACAGGAAAATACTGCCACTGCCTTTTCTGGAGCTGCTTCACAACCCTCCGCCCCAAGCCAGCATGAGAATAAGCTCCTCTGCCATTCAATTCCTGTCCAATAAACCTATCACCTGTTTTCTAAGTGCTTTGCAAACCTTTAATCCCCACAGCACCCTGTGGACTAAGGTCCTGTTATCATTCCCATTTATCAGATGACAAACCTGAGGCCCAGAGAAATTGGCTATATAATTTTCCCAGGTACACAAAGGGACTCTGAACCCATCCAACAGTCCAGCTTTTACCACCAGACCACAAGAGGGACAAGCTTCTCCCTGGAACTGCCAGATGCAGTAATGAGGCCGCCTTATAAAATGCAGCCTGCAGCTCAGGACATGCCTCTCCCCATCTGCGCACTGAAGATGCTCTCCTGCACTTGCACCATGTGCCCAAGGTGCTCCTAGAAACTCAGATCCAAACGTGAGCCCCCGCCTGGCCCATTCTGGAGACACATGGAATGAAAGAAGTGCCCAGCCCAGCTGGCACAAGCTCGTCACCATCTCAGTACCTGGTTTCACTAGAGGATTTGGGGATTGATTTAAAACGTGGGGCTGGGGGAGGGAGGGTGCGGCAGAAAAAAAAAAAAACAACAAAAAACGTGGGGCCAGCAAGAAAGGCACAAACCCAGATAGAGGTATTTCCCATTTTCATCTTTTTCTGCTAGAGGACTCCCCTCCTTTTCCAGCTCCTTCCTATATCTTTTAATATTCTTCACCATCAGATCCTTCCGGGTCAGTTCATAGTGGTTCGGAAAATGGTTGACTATTTGATCATCTGAGAGCCGATAGCCAGTTTCAACACTAAAAACGTTTCGGATGGTTTGCACACTCATCCTAAAAGAGAAGCATAGAAGAGGCATGCAGGGTAAAGCTTAGAGCAGGTCCACATGGTGGCAGTTCCCGTGAAAGCTCATGACCAGAGACGCTTACCCGTTCCCCGACCCCCGGCCCCCCGGGCCAGGAGACTCCTCGGCCCACTGCGGTCCAGTCACCAGAACTGTTGGAGGCATGGGCTGTTCTGAGTGTAGACTGGAGGGCTTCACTCCCCAGCAGAGTAGATGCTTGATAAATCCTTATCGATTAATGATACCATTGATTGCAGATAACAAGCTAATGAAAGAGCCTCCTCCAGGCTCTGAAATCAGGAAAATCATTTACGAAATATTTTCACCCAAAGCCAAGGACAGGGACCACTTTAAATAAAAATCACAGAGTGATTTAAGGGCCCTGGGTGAGTACTTCATATTCTAGCAGAGACCTCTGATGGTCCAACACTCTAGTGTAATGAGAGGGTTGAAAGAGAAAGGGATTCTTTCTAATCCTCTAAGAAAGCCAGTCTCCCTACCACACCCCTCTGCCCTCCTAGCCCCACAGAGAAGCAGGGAGGGGGCAGGAAGGACTGGGACTGGCACTCACAAGGGAGCTACAGGCGAGGCAGGCCATCTGTGGCTTCTAGCTCCTGGCCCAGCCTCACTCCACCCCAGGCACCAACCTACAGAGGGCCTCAAGCACCCAGGGATTTCTTTTGACTCTACAGTCATTAGAATAATGGGAGTTTTAGGAGCCCCTTGGGTGGTCAGCCTTCAGCTCTGGTCATGATCCCAGAGTCCTGGGATAGAGCCCCACATCTGCATCAGCTCCCTGCTCAGCAGGGAGTCTGCTCCTCCCTCTGCCCCTCACCCCACTTGTGTTCTCTTGTTGTCTTTCAAGTAAATAAATAATATATTTTTAAAAAAGAAGAAGAATGGGAGTTTTATTTTATTTATTTTTAATATTTTATTTATTTATTCATGAGAGACGCACACAGAGAGAGAGGCAGAAATACAGGCAGAAGAAGAAGCAGGCTCCATGCAGGGAGCCCAATGTGGGACTCGATCCCGGGTCTCCAGGATCACACCCTAGGCTGCAGGTGGCGCTAAACCGCTGCGCCACCAGGGCTGCCCAGAATGGGAGTTTTAAAACTTTTTATCATGTAAAAGCTGAACCATATACAAAAGCAGAGAGAAAAGCCCATTACGAAAGAGAACCCCGTTACAGGCTTCAGTGGCTATGGCCATGCAGCCAGATGTGTTTGGTTGGACCCCACCCATGCCACACAGCATTGGCTTATTTGGAAGCAATTTCCTGATACAGCGTTCCATCCAAAGGATTCCCGTAAGAATCTCTAATAGTTAAGGATTCTTTATTATATTATACGATATCCTACTTTAGACCGTTAGCACAACTTAATAAAAAGCAGTAATTTCTGAGTATCATCAGATGTTAATCAGTGTTCACATTTCCCAAGTTGTCTGACATATTTTTTACAGCTTGTAAACAAACAAGGGCCAGGCCTTCTGATGAGTTGCCCTCTCTCCCATGGTTCTTTTAATTTATATTCTCCCTCCTTTTTTTCTATGCTATGTCTATGTTGAAGACCCTGGGTTGGGGAACCCCGGTGGCACAGCGGTTTAGCGCCGCCTTCAGCCCAGGGCGTGATCCTGGAGAGCCCGGATTGAGTCCCACATCAGGCTCCCTGCATGGAGCCTGCTTCTCCCTCTGCCAGTGTCTCTGCCTCTCTCTCTCTAGCTGTGTCTCTATGAATAAATAAATAAAATCTTTAAAAAAAAAATGAAGACCCTGGGTCACCCGTCCTCCAAGGGCCTCCAGGGGTCCTCCTAGGGGGTCCTCCCAGGTTCCTTACTTAGTGTAGCCTCACTGGTACCCCTCCACCTACATCCTGCCTATAAATCAGCAGTCAGACTGCAAGGCCTGAGGAGCTGCAGGTCAATTTGGGGGCATATCTCCATTTAGACCAGCCACACTTACGTGCTCATCAGCCCTGTGGTTAGTGGCTCCCATACCGGGCAGGCCTAGACCCTTATGTCATTAAGGGAGGCAAACAGGTGTCTTCTACGCTTTCATTTCTCCTTCAAGTACTGGCAGGAAAATTTCCACAAGGAGAAATTTTCTTTAATCATCAACTTGAACACCTAAAACATAGTTCATACAGGAGAAACTAACAAAATGCTTAATTCTTTCCCTTTATTGGTTTTCAAAATAATGAGCTCGTTCCCTACCATCCTGAGGTATGTGACAACATATATTCTGGGTCTCTATTACTGCAGAGCAAACTGCCCAGTGTTAGCAACTCAGGACAACAACCATTGCATCACATATCATGGTTTTGTGGATCAAGATTTGGGGCAGGGCTCAGCTGAGCATGCTTCTGCTCCATGTGGCACCCACTGAGGTCACTCAGTGGTATTCAGGCCGTGGCTAATCTAATCTGGAGGGTCCAAGACGGGTTTGTTCCTATGTCTGGCACCTTGGCGGGCATGGGTGGAAGGCCAGACGTGGCTGCAACTGGCACACACGACACCTATACAAGCTCCTCCAGGGATCCCTGGGTGGCGCAGTGGTTTGGCGCCTGCCTTTGGCCCAGGGCGCGATCCTGGAGACCTGGGATCGAATCCCACGTCAGCCTCCCGGTGCATGGAGCCTGCTTCTCCCTCTGCCTGTGTCTCTGCCTCTCTCTCTCTCACTGTGTGCCTATCATAAATAAATAAAAATTTAAAAAAAAACAAAAAAACAAAAAAAAAAACAAGCTCCTCCAGCAAGACAGCGCCAGGTCGTCAGGCTTCTCACACGTCAGTTGCGGCTCCCGTAACAGGTTCCCATAAAGGAAATGGAAGCTGCTAGGTTCTTAAGGCCTAGGCCCAGACATGTCTCACTTTGGCTTTGCTTTGGCCAAAAATGTGGCAGAAGCGATGCTGTGCCACTTCGAGACTAGCCCTGAACGGCCTTCAGAGCTTCCACCCGCCTTCCTGGACCCCAGCCACCACAGAAGAACAAGCCCCAGCTAGCCAGCTGGAGGGATGGGAAAGATTTGTGGAGAAGCCACTGTTGTCCTAGCCAAGGGCATCCAAGACCAGACAAGCCCCAGCTGACCCCCCCAGGTGACAGCAGATGCACCAGTGAGCCCAGGCAGGATCGGCTAAGTCCTGCGGGACCAAAAGTACCATCTAGCCAAACCTATAAATGCATGTGCTGTAGAATCAGTTGTTTCAGGGCACCTGGGTGGTTCAGTGGTTGAGTGTCTGCCTTTGGCTCAGGTCATGATCCCGAGGTCCTGGGATCGAGTCCTGCATTGGGCTCCCCACAAGGAGCCTGCTTCTCCCTCTGCCCGTGTCTCTGCCTCTCTCTGGGTCTCTCATGAATAAATAAATAAAATCTTAAAAAAAAATGCTCTCAAAAACAAAGAAGTTGCTTTAAGCCCTAAGTTTCGTGGTGTTTGTCACACGCCATCAATCTGGCCATAAAAAACTAATACATCCCCTCCAGCACAGCCATGGCTTTCACGTTTCTCATTGCTCCTATTTCCTGCCCATATGCAAGCCATGATCAGAACAGTTTCATAGTATGTTTTTCTTCACACTTATTGTCATACAATTTTCTGAACTGCTTTATAATTGTCACAGTTATTTTAATGGCTATCCCATAATCTATCCAGTTAACAGTTACCTTACCCAAACCATTTAACATTTAGCCGCCAATATTTTACCCTGATCAGTTTTTAAGACTTACTTAAAAACTGCTTAAAGACACTGCTTAAAACAGCTCTCAAGAGAGCTAATATCCAAAGTTATACAGTCCCACTCTTTCTCTCTCTCTCTCTCTCTCTCTCTCTCATTCAGACTAGCTCTGAAATTCTTCTTATGTGGCACGAAGAAGGGAGGCGCTCTGCACCCTCCCAAGCGTTGATTAATCACTCAGAGAAGCCAAAAGGACTGAGTATTGGCTAAGCCCATGGCATGGAGCCATGGGACACAAAGCAGTAAGTACAAAACACTCTTTTTCTCTAATGACATTTCAAGATTTTATTTATTTATTCGAGAGAAAGAGAGAGAGAGAGCACGTGAGCACAAGCAGGGAGTGGGGCAGCTTGACCCCAGGACCCTGAGATCATAACCCGAGCCAAAGGCAGCTGTTTACCTGAGCCACCCAGGCGCCCCTACAAAATACTTGTATTCAGCCTTTCTTCCAGAGTCCCATGGAAGCAGGGCTCTGGCTGTATTACTTCATTCTACCTTAGAGAAATATATAAATGTGATGCCAAGCCACACATGGGTGCTGCATTTCTCTGAAAATGCTTTCTCTGCCTGCATTCCATGCTCCTCAAGGAAAATTAGGCTGTGGTTTAAAACACAGGTACCTTAAACTGCTACACAAGCAAAGAAAGGGTCATCCCTCCCATCATTGCTGAAGACAAAAGCTGCATGCCAGCCTACTCTGCATCTGAGCCAGTGCCAGGCTCTGGGATGCTGGCATAAGCCAGACAAGGTCCTCTCTGTCACGGGGCTCACAGTAACATGGAAAGAGGGGACAGGCAGGGAAATCACAAATCATGGCACACAGCACTCACTGCGTGACACCAAAGAAAGGCTGAGCGTCTGGAAGCACAGGTGGCTTCTGGGGCGGGCAGCTTGTGAGCTGGTGCATGAAGGACGGAGACAGCACGTGCTTATGCAGCACCCATCACACGCCAAGCTCTTTGCTTTACTGACTCATTCAAACTTCAAACAACCATATTTGCAAAGAAAGGTCAAGTCCTTTGCTAATGGCCACACAGACAGCACTGCAGGAGCCAGGGTGTGAGGCCAGGCATGACCTGGCTTTGCGGTCTGGACATCTAACCGCAGGATGCATCGCACCTCTCAAAGATGGGCTGAGAGGAGAGAAAGCACACCATTGAGAAAGGTGCAGAACAAGAATGTTTTAGTAGGTCAACAGGAGAAAAGGTGCCAACTGCTCTGGGGCCTGGGGGAGAAAGAAGTGGCGAGAAGGAGGCCAAGTAACATCTCTCAAGGCAGCAGCGGGGAGCAGGTCTCAGGGAGGGCAGGTGCATAGAGTAAAAAAGCCTCCAGAGAGCCACCAACTCCCCCTCCCTTGGAGATTCACCCCATGTTCCGGGCCCAGGAGCTGCAGAGGCGTGGGGAGGCCCCAGCAGAGGAGGCGCTCATGGCTCTGTTTCAGCATACAACCCTCCCAGAGCGTGGGGGCTGCCCTGAGGCAGGGGCAGACCAGGCCTGCACAGGGGAGGACACAGGACCTCACCTCGTGAAGGCAGGCAGGACAAGGGCAGGAATCTAAGGCAACGCTCATGTTTCCAGTTGCGGGGAGCACCACCAGGGTGTCAGCGCCAAACGCTGCTTTCTTATTATTCCTCCTGTCATTCACTTTTCAGTGCTGTGGACCAGTCCTACCGGCAGCCTCTGCCATGTGAGAAGAAGTGAAGAGGGCATAGATCCTTCCCCACAGGCGCCTTCCCCAGCACCCGGCAGTAAGGCACTGAGAATGCTAAGCAGGGGGGCCTCTGGTTTCTCACCCAGAGCCCTGCAGTCTCAGCCATGCTGGCTTGTGTGCAGAACCATCCCAGTACTTCTGCCACCAGGCTGATAAACAGGAGAGCATGGGAACACCACGTGTATGAGCCAAGGGCTTTCTTGTCGTGCGCGGTGGAGGAGACTTGGGAATGGAAGATGTGTAACGGGAGGCGTCCCCTGAGAATGCAGCCTGCACCCGAGCTACCAGCATTCACAAGATTGATAGGTCGGCTTCAGAAAAACAATCAGATCCTGCTTTTTAATACTTACCAGTAAAAATTCCAATCTTCATTTTCTGTCACTTGGACCCATCCTCTCTTTTCAAAGTTATTTATCAGCACTGACTTCTCAATATCAGTGACCCATTTCACTTTTCCTGCCATAATCCTGGAAGAGGTCAACCTGTTAGTGCTTTGAAATGTCAAGAGCAAGAAACTTCCCCTGGTGCATCCTACGCTCCACTTGCCCGGGCAGCAGTTCTTGGCCAGGGGCTACTCTGTCCCTGTGAGGACATCAGGCCCTGTCTTTTGTTGTCACAACTGGGGGCAGGGATACTTCTAGTGAGTAGAGGCCAGACGCCATGGTGCTGCCCACAGACACCATCCCTCCTCCCTCCATAGCAAGTCACCCAGGCCAAAATGTCAGCTGTACCAAGACTATGAGATCCTGGCCTACTGGGGCAGGGCGGGGGCAGAGACAGGCACCAACTGGTCACCACCCGACATGCATTGCAATGGTGACAGGAGCCACGAGGCAGAGGCAGCACCTGGGGCTGCGAGAGCAGAGACAGGAGGGGGCCTGTGCAGGGTAGCTGTGGAAGACTGTCCTGACCAGGGGGCCCTGGAGCTGGCTTCCCAAGGGTGGGTGGAGCCTATCCCAATGGGAGTACCTCCCCCACGAAGGGCTGCTGCTTCCCTGCTTCCTCCCCTGCCCTGCTCCAACTCACTCTCTGTAAGTGAGGTGACCTTTAAGTGTTTATCTGACCACAACACTCCCATTTACTAGCCTCTCTGGTTCCCCAGGACACTTGAAATACGCAGACCGGGGTGCCTGGGTAGCTCAGTTGGTGAAGCAGTGAAGCATCTGCCTTCAGCTCAGGTCATGATCCCCGGGTCCTGGGCTCAAGTCCCCCATCAGACTCCCTGCTCAGTAGGGAGACTGCTTCTCTGTCTCCCTCTTCCCCTCCCCCCAGCTCATGCACAAGCTCACTCTCAAATAAATAAAATCTTCAAAAAAAAATTCACAAACCCCTGGCCCTCACCTGCTTCTCCTTCACCTGCTGTGTTCTCACCAACTGGACTTCTCTGCCCACACCCGACCTCAGGGCCTTAGAACGTGCTTGGTGTCTGTGCCCGAGGCACTCCCCTCCCTCTCTGCCTGGCTAAGCTGCTGCCCACTCATCTGCCAGCATAGGTGAATGTCACCTCCTCCACAAAGCCTCCCTGACTCCCCACCTGGTACACAGCTGCTCGGCACTCCTGCACTCCTGTCCCTGCTAGAGGGCAGGGGGCTGGCTCTTCTTTGCTGCTCTGGGCCCAGGGCCTAGCACTGCACCTGGCATGTGGTACATGCTCCATTCAGACTGACTGACTGTGGCCCCAAGTCTGTCAGGACAACCGTGTGACTTGGAGAAAGTTAAAATATGGGCACCCAGGGATCCCTGCGTGCTCAGGCGCTGGGCACCTGCCTTCAGCTCAGGGCGTGATCCTGGGGTCCCAGGATCGAGTCCCGCATCTGGCTCCCTACAGGAGGCCTGCTTCTCCCTCTGCCTGTGTCTCTGCCTCTCTCTTTCATGAATAAATAAATCTTAAAAAAAAAAAAAAAGATGGGCACCCAGGTCTGCCTTGCCTTGGGAGAGGGAAAAGAGAAGGCACTCCCGTGAGCTTTCACACAAAATCAGCCCACTGCCTCCTCACCCTGCCCAGCAGTGCGGTGTCACAGAGGTGGAACTGTGGTAGAGAACGGCTCTAGTTCGAGCCCCAACTCCAGCACTCACTAGCTGCGTGACTCTGGGCAGGTTACTTAACCTCTCTAAACTTGTTTCTTTTTTGTTTTGTTTTGTTTTGTTTTTTTTAAACTTGTTTCTTTACCTTTAACAACAGTATTTACTCATCTCACCAGGTTAGTGATGATCCGATGAGTGAACACTGAGAACAGTGCTTGGCACGTAGAAAGCACACAAGAAATATTTGGTATTATTGCTGCCGTCATCCCCACTTTACAGATTTGAAAACTAAGCCTCAAAAGTTAGGAGCCTGAAGAAGAAACAGACTGAAGGGAGTCAGGGAGCCCTGATTTGAACCCAGGGTGACTCTACTCCGAAGGGCCACCTCTTTTCACACAGTCTGCTGCCTCCTCTGAACCTGGCCCTCATTGGATGACGTCCATGCCCACAGGTAAGGTAAGGAATAAACAGAATCCCCTGTGCAAAGAAGCGAGAAGCTGTGGTATAACAATATGAGGCTGTTAACATGGGAAGTCAGCAGCCACCGCACAGAAATGATGGCAGAAGCCGCACAGGAGCTGAATCCCCACATGCTGTTACCCCGCACCCCTCACCAGCAAACCCCACCTGGTGTCAAAACCCAGGCAGAGCCCCAGGGAGTTTACCGGTTCTCTACCTGACTTCAGCCTCCAAGGGTCCGCATCCCTGCCCAATCCTGCTCCAACTCTGCCCCTTAGAATCCAACTGCAGACCCGGAATTTTGAGGGAGAACCACCCCCCAGGCAGGCACCCCCCCACCCTACCCCCCACTGAAATCCCACCTGCAGTGACCCAGCAGGGTACTAAGGGGGCCTGAGCCTTATCTGTGCCCTGTGCTTTACCTGTCAGAAAATGCTTCCCAGGTATGATCCCCAAAACCAATAAGGCAGACAGGGCAGGTATTCTCATCCTCACTTTACTGAGGACATGGAGCCTCCGAGGTGAGGTCTTCTGGTCAACCCCCACCTGCCCCCGGCCCTTTCCTTCTGCTGTGGAACAGTGGGCACTAAGGAAAACCAACCTCTCAGGCTGGACCCACCATAGGTACGTATGGAGCCAACAGGAACGTCCAATTTCGCTTCAGCGTCAGGGACTCCTCGTGCCTAAAAGAAAATTAACACACAGACAAAATGTACACGGCACAAGACCAAGAGACAGTTCTGTGGACACAGCAAAACCGTGAGGAGCTGCTGTATTCAGTGGCTGGCATCTTCTGCTGAACAGCAGCATGCCACAAGATGCTCTCCTTATTGTGATAGATATTTCTGATTCTATCACATTTTGAGTCCCGCTGGACTTCCTGAGCTGCCCTGCCACTTCTTCATTCACATGCCCCCTGCTTCGGCGGAACACCCCACCTCCTTGCTGCTCCGTGAGCATGTGCAACCGTGCTCTCCACCTGCTGGCTGTCCACCCTCCACCCCAGGCCTCTCCCCACCCCACTGCTTCTCATCCAGCTCCGAGATCACAAAGATGCAGTTCAAACGCCACCTGCCTCAGGGAGCCATTCTCCCCGCCTTTTCCCTCCACTGAAGCTTCTGTTATAATACATCTCCTGCTATTTTTGTTGGCACACAGAACTTCCTACCTTGCGTTTTAGCTCTTTGCATACTTTCTTTCCATGAGTGTGCGAGGTGAGAACTCTGTCACCTGCTTCCTTTTCATCGCACTGACTCCTTCTAGATTTAGGTGTGAGCATTTGAAACAACCCTCACAGTCCACGTGGCCAGCCCCATTAGCTCCAGTACCCAGCCCACTGGCACATGGGAGTCAATGCCGACTCCTTGTGAAACTGAGAAAACAGACACATCCTCAAGAATCAGTCCTTTGATTCGACTCTTTGCTTTCAAGACTCACTTCCTTGTAAATGTTATGGGTTGAACTGTATTCGCAAAAAAGATATGTTGAGGGGTGCCTGGCTGGCTCAGTTGGTAGAGCATGTGACTCTTGATCTCAGGGTCATGAGTTCAAGCCCCACATTGGGTGTGCATGTTACTTAAAAAAAAAAAGAAGAAAGAAGAGGAAACCTGGACAGAGACATCCACAGACAGAGAATGCCATGTAATGACACAGGTACAACAGACACACAGGACAGATGGTCACGTGAACATGAAGGCAGAGATCAGAGCTATGCTGCCATGAGCCAAGAAAAGTCTGAGTCCACCAAAAGCTGGGAGGGGCAAGGAATCCTCCCTAGATTCTTCAAAGACAGCTCAGCTCCACCAACACCTTGATTTCAGACTTCTGGCCTTACTCAGCTACTCACTTCATGGCATCTGATAGTACAGCTCTTGGAAACTAATACAAGACATAACCTTCTTAGATACCAGAAGACAAAGAACCGATAGAGAGTTTTAAATATATGTGAGGGAAACAGAGCACAATAAAGTAGTGAACAAAAGGACAAAACAGTTACTTATGGTTAAAAAAGAAGAAAAGGGGCAGCCCAGGTGGCTCAGCGGTTTAGCACCGCCTTCAGCCCAGGGTCTGATCCTGGAGACCCGGGATCAAGTCCCACATCGGGCTCCCCGCAGGGAGCCTGCTTCTGCCTCTGCCTGTGTCTCTGCTTCTCTGTCTCTCATGAATAAATAAATAAAAACTCTTAAAAAAAAAAAAGTAAAGAAATGAACTAAGGCCACCTGTCCCCTAAAGGGACACAGGACCTCTTTCCAGAAATGCACCAAACCAGCATGATGACCACTACTGAGCACCAATGACAAGGCAGCCTCAGAAGAGCCAGAGGAGGGCAGCTGGGTGGCTCAGTGGTTGAGCATCTGCCTTTGGCTAAGGTGATCCCAGGGTCCTAGGATCAAGTCCTGTATCGGGCTCCCCACAGGGAGCCTGCTTCTCCTTCTGCCTGTGTCTCTGCCTCTCTCTCTCTACCATGAATAAATAAATAACATCTTTAAAAAAAAAAAAAAAAAAGAAGAGCCAGAGGGACGGCAGTTCCTCTGCACCTGAAGCTTGGAGACTCAGTCCATCTCCAGTGCTTTCCTGTCTATGGGTACTCGCAAGTTTTCTTGGGGCCTCAGTCTCCCCCATGATAAAAATAGGCATGAAAGCCACAGGTCCCTCGCAGTACGGCTGAAGACTATTGCAAGGTATGGCAGGTGTGTCCCTGGAACACCACCAGTACGCCAAACAGTTCACTGGATTTGAAACAAGTGTACTGGCTTCCCCTGAAGTGCCCTGAAACTTTCCCTGATTCGGCCCTGCACACTCGTCCACTTCAGCCCCTTCTCCCAGTGGGCCTCCCAGGCCCCTAGCCCAGTGCTGGAGAGCAGCCCCGCACTCGCGGGGTAGGTAATTACATATCGATATTATCACCCAAACAATAGCTTCCACTTATGAAGCACCAGAATCCATCAGGCACAGGGCTGGGCAGTTTGTGCATATTCTCCTCTACTACATGCATCCTTTTGGCTCACGAGCTGCCAGAAGGCAGGTATTCTCCCCATTTACAGATGGGGAAAGTGATGCTCAGAGAGTAATAGGCAGAGCACACTGCAACCTGAGGACACTGACACTGCCTCCCCTGCCACTGTGTCAGCTGTCCAGTGACCCTGAGAGGGGGTGCTGATCGTCTTGTTTCCCAGCACCCAGCCAGGGCCAGGCACAGTGAGGGGGCTCAGAAATGGTCTGCAGAACAGAAAAAGGGACCAGCTGGCCAAGGACCAGCTCCTTCCCAACCCTAAGAAATACTAAGCCCTTTCCCTCAGAAAAATCAATAATGAAATACCTGATGTCTGATCGTTGTCCTGTTACTTCCTCCTGAAACAGAAAAAAAAAAAAAAAAGTGAAGTTAGCAGTACCAGGTAATGAACTTGGTAGGCTACCTCTCTAGTGGTTCACGTGAACTGAAATGATAAGCTATTCGGTCAGCTACTTTCAAAACCGAGCATCACAGGAAGGGGTAACGACGATGTGCTGAATATACACAATGGAATAGGACTCGGCCATCAAAAAGAATGAAACCTTGCCTTTTGCACCTCATGGATGGAACTAGAGGTTGTTATGCTAAGCAAAATAAGTCAGAAAAGGACAAATACGAAATCAATACATATGATTTCACTCATATGTGGAATTTAGGAAACAAAACAAGCAAACAGCGAAACAGGTGAACATACAGGGAGGAGGGAGAAAGAAAGGGAAACAAACCATAAGAGACTCTTAACGATGGAGAACAAACTGAGGGCTGCTGGGGAGGAATGGGGAGATGGGGGATGGGGACAGAGGAGGGCACTTGTCAGGACGCTCACTGGGTGTTGTACTTAAGTGATGAATCTCCCAATTCTATTCCTGAGCCCGATATTGCCCTGTATGTCAACTGACTAGAATTTAAAGAAAAATCTGAAAAAAATTAAAAAACCCAAACTGAGCACCAAAAAACCAAACCCAGAGCAACAGAGTTTGTTGTGTGCTGATCTCACACTGCAGGTGCTCGGAGGGTCGTGGGCTGTCACCACCTGAGCTATGCCAGCCAGGGCAAGGTCATTCGCAAACCAGGCAGTTGGCTATTCTCAGAACACGATGCGGGTCCCACCTCCCGGGCCGGGGGCAAGACCTTCAGAAGCTTGAGGACAGGATTCCACAGTCTAGCCTCTCACCCAGCCACTCAGTGTTGGGTCCGTGCAGGAGACACGTAGCTGCCTGGGACGAGCTGCTCGTGGCCTTGCTCCAGGGAGGCAAGAGGGGCACTCCACAGGCTGGACGCCCCAGCAGCAAAGTGCCTTAGCAATCCAACAAAGCTCAGCCGTGGTCCTGATGGGGAAGGGACTACTGATTCATCTGGCAGCAAATTGTGCCAGCTCTACTCCAGAAGATTCCAGATTTGTCTGTGTCTCCCCCCAGCGTCCCCGTAATCCCGGACGACCATGACAGGCTACCACTGGTTTCCTTAGCGCCACCCTCACCCCACTGCACCCATTCTCTGCCTAGCAGCAGACTGACCAAGCAAATCATGTCACCCTGCCCATAAGCTTCTAGAAGCTTCCACTGCACCCAGAATAAAACTATCAGGGTACCTGGGTGGCTCAGTCAGTTGTGTCTGCCTTCAGCTCCCGTCATGCTCTCGGAGTCCTGGGATCAAGCCTGGCATCAGGCTCCCTGCTCCGTGGGAGTCTGCTTCTCCCCCTGCCCCTCCCCCTGCTTGTGGTCTGTCTCTCTGTCAAATAAATTATTAAATATTTAAAACAAAACAAAACAACTCCCAGTCTGCCCGTTACCTACAAGGTGGACCCCATGTGATCTGGGCTCCCATCCCCTCAGGTCTTGTCTCCAGCAACCACCCCACCCAACAGCCCTCACTCCTGTCCGCTCTTAGCTCCCCCTCATCCCAACCAAGCTAGCATCCTCTGAACTTGCTCACATTATCACCACACCTATCATCAAGGCCCGACTCTCCAGTAACTCATCATCCCAATCCCAATCCCAATCAACTTCACCTACTTGTCACAATTCATCCCTCATACTACCTTCCCAAACTCCTAGACGCCAATGAGTCTCCCACGCCCCACTATACCCATGCCACAATCAAGCCAACAACATATTTAATGCCTTAATACATCATGATTTGAGCGCTTGACATTCATGTGATCTAGAGCATCTCCTCTACCCATTCCCACATCAGTGTCTCCTGCATGACCCCGCATCCAGTCCTCCTCCTCTCACCTCATGATACCATACTCTCACCAACTCTCCACAACCCCCCAAACCAAAAAAACAAACACCATAATCTTAACCCCCCAACCCTTACTGTTGATCTTTACACCCACTTGTGGAGTATGTCCATCGACATCTGACTAACCCCAAGCTGTATCTTAAGTGAGTCAGTCCTGCCTTTGCTCCAAGTCTGAAAGAACTGGTCTAGTTCACTTATATTTTGTCCTGGTGCATTACCTGTCTTTGACACAGAATCTCACTGCAGGGAGCACAGATGTCGTTCTGCATTATTGCCTACTGAATCCCCAGCATCCAGAATAGCGTCTAATAATAGCAGGTGCTCGATCAATATTTGATGAATTAACAAAAATAAAGACGTAGATTCCCTCCAGAACCAATCAAACAAGAGCTGTCTGTGCCAAGCAGTGAATCAGGCATGGCCTAGCCCTACAGGGGCTATCAGACCTGCCGGCGAGAGAAAGTGGTAAACAGGCACACCCTCCAAGACTTCCACAGTGTTTTCCAGGGACCTGAACTGGGAGACAAGGATGGGGTTCAGTGGATCTCCACTGAGTGAGGGAACACCACAGGGAATATCGACACCTACAACCCCAGGAGGACAAACCTTTGCCAAAAGGCCTTTCACTTCCCAGAGTTATGACTACTTCCAGACAAAAGCCAGGACAGTGTTTCAGGGAAAATGGCAAACAGAGAGAAGAGGTGACATTCATAGAGTCCATGCACTTTTCTGGGTCCAGCCATAAACAACAGGAGCTCTCTCTGTCCCCAACCCTGCTATCCCAAACACTTTAAGTCACTTCACTATCACTTTCAACAAAGTCCCAACTAGGCCAGGAGTCTAGGGCATTTTGATTCCTTTCCACCTAGTCTTCCTTGAAAAGGAAAAAGTACCATGTTTAAAGAAAATAATACGGAATAGCATAAATGAGGGGCACCTGGGTAGCTCAGTGGTTGAGCGTCTGCCTTTGGCTCAGGGTGTGATCCCCGGGTCCTGGGATCGAGTCCCGCATGGGGCTCTGCAGGGAGCCTGCTTCTCCCTCTGCCTGTGTCTCTGACACTCTATGTGTCTCTCGTGAATAAATAAATAAAATCTTTTTTTAAAGAAAGAAAAATAGCGTAAGTGACAACTTCTGCACAACTATATGGCCACCATCTATCTATCTCCACACCCCCCTGGGAGACACTGTCAGGCTCTACAGCAACTATTCAGCAATGCTTGCAATTCCTTGGGCACAGAGTAAGTCCAATCTTTTTGTAACCGTCACAACCCAGCACCGAAATGTGCTCATTCAATATTTTTGTGATCAAAGAACCTCTTTGCAAACCCTACACTGCTTACAACAAATAAGATGCGTTTACTTCTAGAACGAGCCCCCCTAAAGCCCCAGCTACTCTTTGCGCTGCAGGGCGACCTCCGCATCCCCACCCCCTTTAGACTGACAAACAGGGAGGGGAAATGCCCTGGTCCCATCCCGCTGAGAAGGGCAAGCAGGGCGGGGGACACGAATCTGTCTCCACACCAGAGCTGTCGCCACAGGTACACCGCGCCCTGCCAAAGATGCCCATAGAGACAATACAGGCTGCAAATGAATGGGGGGGGGGGGGAGCCCAGAACGATGCAATTCCGGGCTAACCAGTATTAATGAGAATGCAATTACAACAAGCGGGCGGCACAGGGAAAGTCACAGGAGCTCGGAGGCATAACGGGCAGAGTGGCCAGCGCGGGCTTCCTGGAGGACGCGGGTTCCGCAAGCAGCACCTAAACCACCGGGTCGCAGCCACCGAGACCCGGGCGCCCACACTCGCTCGCGCATGCGCACTCGCCCGCCCCGGAGCGGCCACACCCTCGTCCCGGGAGGCGGCCTCCGCGGCGGGGCCTCACCTGTGCGCGCCGAGCCCGGAGGAGCGCCGAGCAGCGCGGAGCACCGCGGAGCACCGCGGCCCCGCGCCGCGCCCCGGCCCTGCCTCCAGCCCCGCTCCGGCGCCGGCAGGAGGACGCCACCCGCAGCCCCGCGGACCGGCCCGCCGCGCGGCGCGCTCTGCTTCCGGGGCGGTGCTCTGGCAACCGAGGACGCGGCCGCTGGCGCCGCGACTGCTTCCGGGTCACGTTTTCCCGGCAGGTCTCTAAGCTCCCGGTCCCACGTGCAGGGAGCGGAGGTCCTGGGATGAGCTGGCCGTCCCTCCCCGGGCGGCTCGCAGCCTTCAGGGCCCAGAAATGAGGTCGAGAAGGGTCGGGGCGCGAGGTTGAGCCTGACAGTGGGGGGCAGAGCCGGGTGATGACTATAGATCCGGGGTCCTGTCCGACCTTGGTCCCTTCTGCTGCTGGGCCTCCGTGTCTGCGAGGTTGGGGCCGCCGGTAGCGCCCACATCGCGGGGCTTGCTGTTCTCCGGTGACATGTGCTCAGCTTGTAATAATCAGTAAAGGTAAAATACGTACTCCTTTGTCACGTGTCCCCTGAGCATGGCTCAGGTCTAGTTTCTCAAGCTGTATTTTGTAAACTGCTAGGAAGAAGCAGCTCAGCCCGGTGAGAATTTTAAAACTAGAGCCAGACCTGGATTGGATCCTTGCTCCAAAATCCACTAGCTGTGTGGCTTTAGACAGGTCACTTCCCTTATCTAAGCCTCAGTTTTGTATCTCAAATTGGGGATAATAGCACTTACATTGTGTGTGTTTTAAGATTTCATTTTTTTATTTGAGAGAGAGAACAGGAGCAGGTGGCGGGGGCAGAGGGAGAGGAAGAAGCAGGCTCCCCACTGAGCACGGAGCCTGTTTTGGGGCTGGATCCCAGGACCCTGAGGTCATGACCCCAGCTGAAGGCAGATGCTTAGTCAACTGAGCCACCCAGGTGCCCCAAAAGCGTTGACGTTGAAGGATTATTAGGAAGATTGATTGATTGATTGATTGATGATGGAGAGAGAGAGAGAGGCAGAGACACAGGAGGAGGGAAAAGCAGGCTCCATGCCAGGAACCTGACGTGGGACTCCATCCCGGGACTCCAGGATCACGCTCTGGGCCAAAGGCAGGCGCTAAACCGCTGAGCCACCCAGGGATCCCCAGGAAGATTATTTTTTAAAAAGAAAGGCACTTTGGGGATCCCTGGGTGGCTCAGCGGTTTAGCGCCTGCCTTTGGGGATCCCTGGGTGGCTCAGCGGTTTAGCGCCTGCCTTTGGGGATCCCTGGGTGGCTCAGCGGTTTAGCGCCTGCCTTTGGCCCAGGGTGCGATCCTGGAGTCCCGGGATCGAGTCCCGCCTCGCGCTCCTGGCATGGAGCCTGCTTCTCCCTCCTCCTCTGTCTCTGCCTCTCTCTATGTCTATAATAAATAAATAAATATTTTTTAAAAAAAGAAAGGCACTTTGTGTAGCACATAGTAATTGCTCAAATTGTTGAAATAATTCAAAATAAAAGAACATGTATTCCAGATGTTTGTCAACCACAAGAGTGCACTTAGAAGCAGCAGGAAAGAGGAGAAACAGAATATTACCTCCCTGCTTTGATACATCCTGGCTGTCTGGGCAGAGGCACATCCTATCCTCTCAATTACAATTTCTCCCCAGAGAAATGGGAGTCATAATCTCCATCACTCAGGGGATGGAAAAGATTTTAAATTCCTGCTGACCAGCACCAAGGAAGGTGTATGTTTTACCACACCCTGCCCTTGTGGTGCATACATGCCATTCCAAAGAGCATCACCAGCACCCAAAGTATGAGAAGGCTTCGTGACAGCCAGTGGGGGGAGATCAACCTCACAGGGAAGAGCAAATAATAAAAATAAAAAAATTAAAAAAAAAAAGAGTTGTGACCAATGTGAAGAATCAACTGGGAGCTAGGTAGTCCCCAGAAAGAAAAGACAGATAACAGACTCTTGGGGCAGCCCAGGTGGCTCAGTGGTTTAGCGCTGCCTTCAGTTCAGGACATGATCTTGGAGACCCCAGATCGAGTCCCACGTTGGGCTCCCTACATGGAGCCTGCTTCTCCCTCTGCTTGTCTCTGCCTCTCTCTCTCTCTCTCTCAAATAAATAAATAAAATCTTTTTAAAAGTTTTCAAAAGAAAAGAAAACAGATTCTTGGTGTTAATCTAACCATGTAAATCTAGTTTAAAAAGTCTTCAAGGAGGGGATCAGACAACCAGACTACTTAGCATTTTTTAGTTTTTTTTTTTTTTTAAGATTTTATTTATTCATGAGAGACACAGAAGGAAAGAGAGGCAGAGACACAGGCAGAGGGAGAAGCAGGCTCCATGCAGGGAGCCTGATGCGGGATTCAGTCCCGGGACTCGAGGATCATGCCCTGGACTGAAGGCAGGTGCCAAACCACTGAGCTACCCAGGGATCCCTACGTTTTTTAGTTTTAAAGTAGTTAAAAATTTGTTAACCGTTTTCCAGTTTAGCATCTCAGTTGTGCTTAGAAAGACCCATCCTAACAAGTTGTGAAAACATAACTTATATGAGGCCAAAAAGAAAATCAAATGTTTAATAGCAGAAGTCTGATTGGCTAAATTAAGGTTCATCAATTTAATGAAATAGTATTTTACATATTCAAAGGGATAAGATGGATGGATGGATGCTGATCTAGAAATATATACATGATATACATAAGGGCAAATTACATAATTGTCCATATAGTACGGCTTTTAAACTTTGTATGTATGAGACACATGGCTAGTTTGGTCAGTAAATATATGACTCTTGATCTCAGGATCATGAGTTGAGCCCCACGTTGGGATTAGAGATTACTTTTTCTTTAATTTTTTTAAAAATTAAAATTTGTATGGGTAAGCATCATATATAATTTAAGAAGCATGGATAGAAGATACTTTCTCTTTTTACAGCCTATATTTTTTGTCTGAATTTTAGTAGCACAAAAATATTATTTTGTAATTTTTTTAAAACTTCAATAAAGTAAAGAAACAAACTTTTTTCAATTTTTAAAAAGATTTTATTTATTTATTTGAGACACAGCAAGAGAGCACAAGCAGGGGGAAGAGCAGAAGGAGAGGGAGAAGCAGGCTCCCTCTCTGTTCGGTAGGGAGCCTGCTGCAGGGTTCGACCCCAGGACCCTGGGATCATAACTTGAGCCAAAGACAGACGCTTAACTGACAGATACACCCAGGTGCCCCCACTTTTATCACTTTTGAATGTTGGTCTGGGGATCCCTCGGTGGCGCAGCGGTTTGGCGCCTGCCTTTGGCCCAGGGCGCGATCCTGGAGACCCTGGATCGAATCCCACATCAGGCTCCCGGTGCATGGAACCTGCTTCTCCCTCTGCCTATGTCTCTGCCTCTCTCTCTCTCTCTCTCTCTGTGACTATCATAAATAAAAATTAAAAAAAAAAAAAGAAAACCTATAAAAAAAAAGAATGTTGGTCTGAACATATGTATTTTTTTTAAGATTTTATTTATATATTCATGAAAGACACAGAGAGAGAGAAAGGCAGAGACACAGGCAGAGGGAGAAGCAGGCTCCATGCAGGGAGCCCGACATGGGACTCGATCCTGGGTCTTCAGGATCATGCCCTGGGCTGAAGGCAGGCACTAAACCGCTGAGCCACCAGGGCTACCCAATATATGTATTTCTCTTCATAACCCAAAATCTCACTGAAAAGACAAAAGAAATAGAAAAATACAGTAGAAGACTAATCATTCGGGAGTCTAAATACCAGAAGAATCTAAATAGAAGAATTGCTCTAAAACTATTTGCCTTGGGGATCCCTGGGTAGCGCAGCGGTTTGGCGCCTGCCTTTAGCCCAAGGCGTGATCCTGGAGACCCGAGATCAAATCCCACGTCGGGCTTCCGGTGCATGGAGCCTGCTTCTCCCTCTGCCTGTGTCTCTGCCTCTCTCTCTCTGTGTGACTATCATAAGTAAATAAAAAAATTTTTAAAAATAAAAAATAAAACTATTTGCCTTGAGAACATCTGTGGGCAGCCCTGGTGGCTCAGCGGTTTAGCGCCACCTTCAGCCCAGGGCCTGATCTGGAGACCCGGGATTGAGTCCCACCTGGAGCTCCCTGCATGGAGCCTGCTTTTCCCTCTGCCTGTGTCTGCCTTTCTCTCTCTCTCCTCTCTCTCTCTCTCTCTCTCTCTCTCTCTCTCTCTCTCTCTCTCTCTGTCTCTCATGAATAGATAAATGGAACCTTAAAAAAAAAAAAAGAACATCTGTCTCAGGGCGCCTGGGTGGCTCAGTTGGTTAAGTGTCTACCTTTGGCTCAGGTCATGATCTCAGGGATCTGGAATGAAGCTCTGTGTCAGGCTTGCTGCTCGGCGGGGAGTCTGCTCCTCCCTGCTCATTCTCTCTCTCTCTCTCTCTCTCTCTCTCTCTCTCTCAAATAAATAAAATACATTTTTAAAAAATAATCTGTCTCCAAATCATGCCTCTGTAAATGCTGAGGATCAATTCACTATGTCCCATTATCACTGGTGCTGGAAGATCCTGCAAACAGGGCAAGATGCATTGCCCACATCAGGTAGTGCCCGTGGGTAGAGTGACAAAGGAGAAATTACCTAGTGATGTCACAGCACAGGTTATGCCAAATCCCAGTTTGTATGTTTTGAAGAATAATAATTGTATAAAGGACTAGGTTGAAATGGTGCAAATGAGGGGTCCCTGGGTGGCGCAGCGGTTAAGCGCCTGCCTTTGGCCCAGGGTGCGATCCTGGAGACCCGGGATCGAGTCCCACATTGGGCTCCCGGTGCATGGAGCCTGCTTCTCCCTCTGCCTGTGTCTCTGCCTCTCTCTCTCTCTCTCTCTCTCTCTCTCTCTCTCTGACTATCATAAATAAATAAAAGTTTTTTTAAAACTGGTGCAAATGGGGATCCCTGGGTGGCGCAGCGGTTTGGTGCCTGCCTTTGGCCCAGGGCGCGATTCTGGAGACCCCGGATCGAATCCCACGTCGGGCTCCCGGTGTATGGAGCCTGCTTCTCCCTCTGCCTATGTCTCTGCCTCTTTCTCTCTCTCTCTCTCCCTCTCTCTCTCTCTGTGACTATCATAAAATAAATAAAAATTAAAAAAAAATTAAAAAAAAA